TACCCTCCACTTTATCTATTCTTAATATATTTGTCACCACTTTCATAAACTCCAATGTAACGATTGCATAAAAAATAAAGTTATTTTAGGACGAGGCCGTGCAACTTACTCTTAAAAAATGATTGAGGAGTCCCGCTTGTTCAAATTGAAAATTGTCTATGTATGATGTGGTATTATCATAGACGGTTTTGAGCCATCTGCAATCTAATAAACTAAATGATGCATCGCACTTTGCTGCAGGATATAGTTAGATATTAGATAAATGATGAAATGATTTATATTGAAATATTATGAAAATGATATCAGAATGATGATTTAGCACGTGTATGTTTAGTTTTAGAATGAAATAAATTCTAGATATAATTACTATATGCTTGCATGTTGAGCTTTGTGTGTTTAATGGTTTGATGTGACATGCTTACATGTAGGTTTTAGGAGTGCTAATAAAAACTATGCTTACATGGGTCTAGATCCCCTGGAGTTGAGTATAACTCTACCGGGTGGAGTTGGCCAAATCTGGAGTTGGCCAAATCTGTGCCATCCATTGTTTCCTACAGCTGAGATCATTCCTCATCAATTTCACCTAATAAATTAACTCCTTAAATTAATGGTTATGACTTCCGAGGAAACTTAATTTTTTTCCATGCATTTCCTCTATAATAGCGATTTGATTAAATTCTCACAAAAAAATAATAGACCAGTGTTTTGTTATTGCCCAAACAACTGATATAGTCCATCAACTCTAAAGCTTCAAGGAGTGCATACCAACATATATAGTGCTTTCACATATAATGAGCCATATCAATATTAATGTGTGTGATTTTTTATATAATAGATGAAGCATGAAATTTTTGTGCTAATTATACAGTAAAAATGATCTCATGACAAGTTATTGTTGCAAGTTTATTTGTTGCATGGTCAGTTACTGGTTTTTAAGTACAAATTAATGTGGCTTAATCTCAGTCCTTGAAGTATACGGAATGGCACATATTTGGCCAACTCCACCCTGTAGAGTTATATTCATCTCTAGGGGATCTGGACTCATGTTGAGTTTTAGATGTTTAGTGAGCATTAGCTTTAAAAAAGAAGGGGTAATAAATATAGATATCGTGGTGCTATTTTGAAACAGTCCATATATGATAATGTAGATCGAAACAAAATTTCTCATGGTCTAGATTCTTTCTTCAATTAGAAGGCTAGTACCACACACGAATATGATACTCCATATGTACATACGTATTTGATTTGGCCTAGCTAATCTGCTCGAGTAATTATACAAAAGAATCTAGCTTAGCTCATCCATGAAAAGTAGATGTATAAATGTCATGACGCAACCACAGCATGCTATAATACAGTTGCCAATAGTTTCCAGTATTGCAATCCCTATAGCTAGCTTTAATTAAACAATTGAAATTAGTAAGAACACGTGATTACAAGTTTTCTAGTGGAATAGTGGCGACGAAGATATGATGCTTAGTTGGTGACAATGAAACTGCATAACCAGCATATCTGCATATACTTTGCAAAGCAATGAGCAAAATGCTTAATCGAGCATGCATGCTCTATGAGAGAGACGTAAAACGTTTACCCTCGATCATGCCCATAATGCAAATTGGGCGTTAATGAAAGCTTTAGCTTCTCCCTTTATTTCGGATATCAAGTTGTTTAATTTCTTGGAATAATATATATTTTAGGGTATGTGCTTAAACGATACTAGCGCACCTAGTTCAGCCCATAAGGATGAACCCCATTTGTTTATACTTCAGCATTTCTCCCTCACGTACGTGAAGGCTGTCTTAGAAACCTGAGGAAACACATATACTCTCTCCTCAAGAAACATGCATATATACTCTCTCCATTCCAAAAAATTAATATAGATGCCTTTAACTTTTATTTTTTTTCACCTCTCAACCAGTCACAGCCATCATATTTTATTTAGTGTTGTTTATACCTCGTTCCCCATTTCAACCAATCACAACCATCTATCATTTTATTTTACCTTTTTTTTATTGATACTCAATTGTAAAAGTCTTTATATTTTCGGATGAAGTGAGTATAACGTGGGATATGATTTCCTTTATTTAACTATACCATATATAATAAATTGTTTGCACCGGCTAATTCATTAGTTCAAAAGATTATGCTAATGAAAAAGGTATGGATGTTATCTATTCCATTATTTAAAAATATATGGCTAAGCAATAGAGATGATCCTTGTGCAGCCTTAAATCTTTGCCATATACCTATATGACTCCAAGTTTTTCCCTTGTCCCCTGTATGGCTCCGATTTTTTTTGTATTGATCCCTATATAGCCATTTAGTTAGTTCTGCACTAGATTTTTTTAGAATGATTATTTTACCCCTCCCTTATGTACATGAGTTAGCTCAAAAGGCATAATTTTCAATGTAAACACAATTTTAAATTTATAACTAAAGGAGATAATTATATCACCCCACATTTAAATTTTGTAATGAATTTCTTTGATGAAAATTTTAAATGGAATTTTCACCTTCTCTCTACATGGGGATCTCTTCAAAAGTAGTTGAAGTTGTTTAAAACATATAGAAATTTGGTTTCTAATAAGTAGAGGAAAAATAAATGTTGATTTGTGCAATTTCCCTATTTGAAGTTTTATTAAATTTGATTGCAATTCATTTGAAAATTTTGAATTGTCAAACAATTATCTCCCTTCAATTTTCCGTACTGAAGTTTTCGCCTTCATGATTATGTTTCACTAGCTCTTATATAAAGAGAGGAGTGGTAATATAGTCATTCTAAAAAAGTAATACTCAACTCACAGTCAACTTATGAAATGGATATTGAGGAGTAGAGGATGTGAGACAAAGCTCGGAGGAATGAAAAGGGTAGAGTACCGTACTCGAGGGCACACAAGGAATTTTCTCTGAGTGATAATATGTTTAATTAACAACATGTACAAGAAAGCACACACCGATAAACATGCATTTTACATCTTTAAGAAATAAACATGAATTTATTGAGGAATTATACTGTACTTCCTCTTGTCCTTGCTTTACGTATTATAGTGCAAAATTCCTCACACCTCACGATAAAAGGTGTAGTGGTCGGTAGATCTCCAAATTGCAGGAAAAGGAGTGGACACAAAGTTTTTCATCAAAAACTAAGACAATCTCACACCAATCAATCGATGTGAAGCAATTGAGCATTCATGAAATGCATGATAACTCGTGCTGATTCTCCATGGCTGCTGTACTTACCTACATATGCTCCGTAGGAGTATAAACTAGTGACACTGATGTTCTTGGGTAAAGCTTGCAAAAAAAATATGTGGCACATCATTGATTTCTCCTCTTCTTTATAAGTGGCAACTAGAGAATTAATCCTAGTAACCCAGTTTTGGCCATGCATATATTCCCTCTTAAAAATGATATCATGATTAATATAGAAAGAGATTCGAGCCAAAATTAAAGACAAGGTTGCTTGACCTCGAGATGCTCATGTTCCAGAAAGAAGAGCTCTGCTGAAGCTCCATCAGAGAGAGATTCAGAGATGTTTCGCCTCGATAGGCTTCAGCTTCAAGCCTGCATGCATGTTCGGATGTTCTGTTCTGTTCGTCGCCTGAAGACGACGTTAGATATCAAGGAGCATTTTACTAGGTTGGATCCGATCATTGACTGCACAAAATGCGATGTAAACGTTGTACTAACTATGAAGGAATCAAGATGGCAAGAGAAAAGAGTGGACATGCATGTTTCCCTGCAAAAAGAAAGGTAAGGTTCGTCAGATACGCTGATCGAGTTGTGCATGCAATGCAGGCTTTGCTTTGCTTTGGTGCTGCATCGACATGACATTTTCTGCCCCAAATGGTCCCCAAGTCACCAACTAAGATTGTTCCTCTTGTGATTGATCAGCATCTAGTCATGGATCGATCGAGCTCCCAACCAAAAGGAGAGAGGTTTCCTTCATTCCCCATCCTAGTGTGAGTACTAGGACCATTGGACCAATCCTTCATGAAGAAAGATGCTCAAATCTGAGCTCCTTTTTCATGTTGCGACCAACTCAGCAGCATAAAGAATCCATTCGAGTTTGAGATGCTTGCACTGTTGCACAGGATGGGAGAAGAGAGCTACTCCATCCGTTTCTAAACGTACTTATCAGCCTTGACTCAGTTCTATTTCAACCATTGACCATCAATAAAGAAATATAGTTTAGTTTCTAAATTGTTAGGTTGTGATAATGTGATGGAGAAAAATATATATGGTTAATTATACCTCAATTCCATAAGGTAAGGTGTTTTAGTTTCATCCAATTTATTTAACTTCGACAGAGTTTACGGAAAAATACACCATCATCTACAGCATCAAAATTAGTTCCACTATAAAATATGACAATGTATTAATTGGTAGTAAAAATGTTTATTTTTCTAAATATTTGATTTAGGGTCAAACTAAAACACCTTATAATTTAAAACGAAGAGAGTATTTAGCTACAATATGATAATATGGTATGTTTTTAATATTTGTAAAATTATTGCTGAAAAATAAGGGTCTGTTCACTTTGATGCCAAAAAAAACCTTACCAAGTTTTGGCATTACCAAAATTTTGGTATAGTTGCCAAAATTTTTGCATGATTTCTTATATAGTTACTAAAATTTGGCAGCAAACTAAATGTAGCCACTTTTTTGGTAACTTTATCAAAATTTGGTAAGGTTGAAAATGGCATCAAAGTGAACAGGCCATAGCCAGAATAAGTAGTGTGAAACAGAAGTAGATGAGAGGATGAAAAAAATAAAGCCAGAATAAGTAGTGTGAAACAGAAGTAGATGAGAGGATGAAAAAAAAAGTGCATTGAAAGAAGTTAGTTCTTTGACATATTGACGCACTTTAAAGATCTGAGATCTATCACTGCCTCTCTTTTGCTCCCCTTGAAAAGAGGAGAGCAGGGCGGTCCCTGACAATCATAAGCTGATTCAACCTTCACAATAATAAAACCAGTAACTTAGTAGTTTGCACTTGACTATTGTACCATGTAATGTTAATGAATGCAAAAGCAATTGGTTCTCACAGACTAGGACTTGATCGCATTCAAAAAATACAAAGTTGCAGAGATACAACAAGGCTGAAGATCCTCGTTATGCTGTGAGAATTACATGATAAGGAACAGTAAACTGACAAAAATGTTTAGTGACTGGAAGAACCATGAATATGGTAGCGTATACTATATGATGATTGCCATGAGAAAACCGATCCTGCTATGAGGATGCCAGTTTCCTGAGAAATTCAGGCACTACCTGACCACAGCTTGTAAGAACCTCAGACAAGGGTTTTGCAAGCAGAGCATCAGCGCTAGAAAAGATGCAATGCACCTCCCCCACAAGCACATGACAGCTTGCACCAGCGAGGATTTCAATGTATTCGTCAACTGAAGGAGGCAAGTCTGCAACCAACACAGTGTCGAAGTCCTCAAAATTTGCCGTTGTTATGTTCTCCCAGTCTTTCACAAGGACATTAATCAGCCCAACACTGAAGAAAATCCAGAGAAATGTAAGTTGTCAAAGTAAAAGAAAAGCAGCCAATCTCAAATCAAAAGATAATGGTGTGACTACAATTCCCTTTCAAGTAAACCCCCAGTCTTAGTGACCAGTTTTCAGCTTGGAAGAGTTTAGGGAATGTTAGGTGCATTGCACAGCTCTTGGTTTGTCCCCATAGATAGGATGTTCGGCAATAAACTACATACTGTAAATATTTTCCATACCTGCTGCATATGGTAAAAGAGTTGCCATGCGAGTCATTGGTCACGGTACAATTTTGCAATTTCAAGGATGATGACAGATGCTGTGCTTCATGATCACTTGCGGTTACCAGTAGGACCTTTGCAGTCTTTCTAGCATGATCATTTAGAATTTGTTCAAGAATTTCCTTCACCTGCATGTTGGAAAAGCCCATAAGCTTACCATGGCAGGCAAAAAGGCATATTTTAATCGCACAAGAGATTTGTAACTGTTTCTGTTCCAAAATCACAACCGTGAAAACAGTACATGAGGTTAAAAGGCTTAACAACACAGAGAACAAGGCTACAAGAGTAAGATAGGCAGATCAAGGCTTAGCAAGGTGATCTAACAGACTAATCTTCAGTAACAGGAAGCAGATTCCTTTAAGTGATATTATGAAGCCAGGATGACTGTAAAGGAAAACTATTTTTCAAAGGCAAGTACATGGAGCAAATAAGTAATGAACTAGCAATACATCAGTGGTTATTGGTTATGATAATTACCTTCGGTGCCTTTTGGTCCTTTGATGGGCATATGTGTATCTTTTGTGTTATGAATGCACCTCTAGAAGTAACTGAATCATTCGTACAAAGCCTTGTGATCTTTTTTCCACCGACTAGTTTTGTTGCCAGTGCAGCTACCCTTCGGTCAGACGGGTCACTGAATATAGTTATTTGAGGGTTGCTCAATATGGCATCCCTAATAGAACAAAGCTTGTCGCTGACATTAAGGTCCGTGAAACACTTCAGACCATCAATCACCTGTCAAATGGAGTTTCCATATTTAAATTAAACTTGACTGTAGGATGAGTAGGCTTGTTGGGAATAGGCTTCTAGGTTGTATAATTGCTAAGAGTATCCAAAACTTGGAGATACAAATATAATTTGATATGACAACAGCATTCGTTTTGCAAACTGAAATTACATAATCACTAAGATGGTGAATGGAAGTGTTACAGATGATCTGTCTTAGTACAAAGAAGTTCAACAACCAAATTAACTCACCAGCATCGATACGCCTGATATGTCAATCGCCTTTAAAGCTATTAGTTCAAGCAGCCTCTCTGGCGTGGATATAAGGAACTCCGGTTCGCAACTCTTTAATCTGAATTGAGTGTGCATGAAATTAACATCCCCTACCCTAACACGCTTATACGCTTACAGATAACAATGACACTGATAATAGGATTAGACTGATAATTAATTTGGCCAAAACATACCCAGAAATCTGGTGTTCAATGGAAGCGCCGGGATGCAGACTGACGGAATGGATACCAAGTGATTTCAGAGGCTTGCAAATCGAACGCACCTGCACAAAACACCATCAAATGAATCACTGATTCATCATTTAGGAATCAATCTTAAGTGAATTAACCAAACGAGCAAAAATGGCGGCACTAACTTGCACGGCCTTTTCCTGGGAGGGGACGAGGTAGAGTAGGAAGGGGCAAGAGACGACCACAGCGAGCTTCTCCTTCCTGGCGACGATGTCGCAGGCTGTGGAGACGAGCCAAGCCGTCTTCTCCCGGGTGGCGCACTCGCCGCTGGTGTCGAGCACGTGCGTAGGCGGCGCAGCCGAGCAGCAATTCCAGAGCTCCACGCCCCACGACCCGGTGTCGTGGATGCCGCCGCCGCCGCCGTCCTCGGACGCCGCCGCGTCTCGGATGGCGTTGAGGCAGACCACCAGGAACTTGGACGGCCGGTCGTACTCCGCCCCGTCCTTCTCCCTAGACTTGGCGTTCGCGGCGGCGGCGGCGGCGGCCTCCCTCGCCGGCTGCTTCTTGGCGCTCGAATCCTTCTTCTTCTTCTTCTTCTTCTTCTTCTTGGATTCGTCCCTGCCTGCGGCGGCGGCGGCGGGGGCGTCTCCGGTCGGCTCGTCGTCGCCCTTCCGCTTCTTGCCGTGGCGGTCGTTGAAGGGGTCCTCCGGGGTGGGGAGGGAGAAGCACATGCCCTCGCAGGCCCGCCGCTTGCCGGACTTGCGGCGGCGCTTGGAGGCGATGATGCCGGCGACGCGGGCCGACACGGCGTTCTCGCTGCTGCGCATCCGCTTCCGCCGCACCTTGTTGCGCTTCCGCGCCAGCGCGTCGTCGCCCTTCGCCATGGCCCCCCTCCCCTTCTCCTCCGCTCCGACACTCGCGGCGGCGGCGGCGACGCGAGGTGCGAGACGGCGGCGAGAGAGACGGTTAGCCGCCGCGACCCCGAGCACGCAGAGGGAAAAAACCTAGCGAAGCCACTAAAAAGGCCGGGCCGGTGGTAGTGGGCCACATTTTCTAGATGGGCCCACTTAAGTTGCATCAGTTGCTCGGTGAGGCCCATTACTCAGTGAGACCTATATTGGCCCAACTGGAGAGTCAAGCTTTAGCATGCGTTGGCCCATGAGAGGATTGGCCCACCAGTCAGTGACAGACAAGGGGGCCTTTCTTTCGTATGGGCCGCATAAATTACGCAGTGGAATGATTATGCGTTCGGCCTTGTTGGCACCAAATTTTAGCATTTCTCATTTTTTTATTCGCAGCAGACCATACATAACCATCACAATCTTATGATAATTAAACTTCTGGTCACTCACTTGGTAATTTTAGAAACATCAACTCACACAAAACTATACTGATAATTCTAGAAACTCCTCAAAAGACCATATTAAAACTTGCCACCACATCTTATCTTGTCAAATTTACCAAATTATTTTAGCTTCATCGTGTAGTTTTAGTTTTAGAGTCCCACTCCGGTGCTTTATACTCGGAGTAGAAAGTAATCTGAGCCATTGATCATATTTAATTGAAGGCTTAAGATCTAGTTCTACTCCCACCAGAATTAGTGGGAGTAGAAATGTGAAGGGGTGTTTTCATCCAGGAAAAATAATTCGCGTAGGGTATTATCGTATATTATCAGTCTCTTACTCACCCTATCCCTATCCTATGGATTCGTATCGCATCGTCGCCATTTCACTCCATCCCGACGCCATTCCCCTCCATCCCCGCCTCCGTCGCCGTCCATCTCCCTCGCCATCTATGTCGCCCGTCCTCGCGTCTCCTCCCCCTCCAGCGCCGTTGCCTTCTCCGCTCCCTCCGTCGAAGCCCGTCTCCCCGCCATCGCCACCTTCTCCCCCGCCCGCATCTCCACGCCGCCTTGTGAGCCCCCTCGGTAGCCATCCTCCTCCCCCGCTCCCTTCTCCAGCGAGTCGCCTCACGTCGTCGCGCCTCCACCCGTCACTGCCGCCACGTTCTCCTCGCCACCAGCCCTCTCCGCCGCGTCACCTCCACCCGCCACCGCCGCCACGTCCTCCTCCCCATCAACCCCTGCCCCCTTCTCCACTCCTCTCGGCGATCCCGCATCTCCGTCTGGGATCTCCAGAGCTCCGCCCTATCCCGCCGCTACCCGCGTCGGCACACCTTCTGGCGAGTTCCACCTTAGACCCCAGCACCGCGCCACTCGCTGCCGCCGAGCCTTCGTCCTCCTCGCTATCCCCTTACTCGCTGTCGGCCTCCTCCCCCACGCTCGGCTCCAGCCCCGTCCATCTCCGCCCGCCATCGCTCCTGCAGCCGCGTGGGAGAGCCCCCAATCCATCGCCCACAAGCGGAGGACGCAGCCTCTGGATCCAATGGCAACGCACGCCTGGTTCCCCTTCGTCCCCATGCCACCTCAAGCACCTCCTTCGGAGCATGAGGAAGACTTGCCATTGGACAATAGCGGAAGGTAATGCCCGGAAATTTGCAGTAAGATGCACTCCCCTAATGCCGCCCCTCAACTTTCAATCTCAAGTTGTTTGTTTTTCTTAAATTTTGATTTGATTTCCGAGGCTACCTGTTTCCTATTAATCTGTAGCATGAAGGATGAGATGATCCATCTATATCTGAACAACTCCACCATGGCGTTGGCGATCCCGAGAGAGGCATGCTTACTGGGTGCTCCGAGGTGCCATGGCATTGGGATGCTGGTGGGAGCATTCAGTATTTGCAAGGAGCAAGAGCAAGTGCGCGAAGCCATCTTGGAAGGTACGTGTGGCTGCTTCGTCGTACCAATTGGATTTGGCACGCAATGTTGTGCTATTGAATTATGATGTCTAAAGTTGTCATCTTTCTGAATGAAACTAATGTTCACCTGTTGTGGGGGCTTTGGAATGGGTGGCTGTTACTAGTGGCTATATTTGCATTGGCATTGTTATGCCACCATCAATTAATTACGAGTAGATGATGCGTGGTGTCTCTTTCCTTTGAACTTTGGTGTCCTTTTCACCAATTATATTGCTCGTTTTGGTTCAGTAAATACATTGTTTATTTCATAACAGAACGGTTAATGTTAACAGCATTTTTACTTACTTACTCTGAACCACATGCCGGCGAAGGGGTTCTCGGTGTTCAGGTGCGACATTGAAGCAGATGCACGTTGGTGACGTCGACTGCTTACTGCCCTGAGTCACCCCGAAGCGTAAGGTTTCATATACCGCTCCTTCTCAAATGGATACAAATATGAACTATGAGTACGCGGACTGGATGGTAGGCCCATCATAGCAAACAAAAAGTTTGATTATGACAGAAGGACATTTGTAGAAAATAAGAAAGATAACATATAGTTGTTGTGATCTATGCAGGAAGGCATCGATGAATACATAAGAAAGCTAGCAGCGATTCTTTACAACTCTCCATCCAACAAATTTTGAATCATGCACAGGCCATCTCCGAAGAAATCTAAGATGTTCAGCTTTGTATTGGGAGGATATTCTTTCATTAAATTCTGAGATGTTCATTTATCATTGAGATGTTTTATTTTGGAGATTCTTAGTTTGTCTTGTCGGATGTTCATTTCGAATAAGCTAGGTGTTAATTTTTTAATATTAAACTCTATCTGTTATTTATTAAATGATACTCAATCTCGTTATTCAACGATGTCAGATGCGGGGACTTATTCTTTCTTTTGTAAAAAAAATAATGTTCTGCTATAATATATGCGCGCGGTCGATTGAAAAACCATGATTTTTTATGATAAGTACTTTCTGCGAGTTTAAAGAAACATCTCGTACCACGACGAAGCACCTTTGTGCTTCTGCACTGCAAATCTTACGTAAAGAAGCTGCTCAATGCAACATCTTACATCCTGTCAAACTGTCAAATGTGTAAGCTAATGTTGTATCAAAATCGGATGCTACGGAGAACAAAATGATGTGTCAGTATCATTTTTTCTTGGGGACGACATGTTCCCCCTGGAACTGTTCCTATGGTTTGCTTCGCTCCTGAATCAGCATCTTCTGGAGGCCTGATGGCTGAGGATGCCAAATCTCCCACCACCAATCCTTTTTGGTGGCTTCGAGACTCCGAATAGAGCTATCGCAATTCGAAGTTGGAACTAGAAAAATATGGACAGAATGAGTCCTCCAGCAGCATGTGCATTCTTATTGATCTGGTAGGCTCTGCATGAAAAAACAACCAGTTTCAGCAGCAGCAGCAGCAGCATTACAGTTTCAGCAGCACCAGCAGCACCAGCAGTTCAGTTTCATTCCAGCAACAACAGTGCAGTTCTAGCAGCAGCACAATTTCGAATAGTAGCAGTATCATTCCAGCATCAACAATAGCATCATTCCAGCAAACAGCACCATTAAAGCATCACACAAGCATCACAAAATGAAGTCACCATTCCAGTTGCAGATCATTTAATCCTAATATTTAAAAAGGCAACTAAATTTATTTGTTCATTACACTCCTTTAAAAATAAATAAGCAGCCTTGCAACGCAAACAACAGAACTGTGCTTGCGCCGGAATCATCTCAGGGTAACCAGGTGCGCCACAGTTATGCTGCCCAGGGACGTCGCCCCAACGCTGAACTGCAGGAGGGGCTACTGACCTCCTGACAGGGTAAACCACAGCTCCATGATCGTCATCCAGGACCTATTTTCAGAAACCAAGCAGCAACAAGTCAAGTTAGGACACAGGAGGCAGCTCAATTCTGTAATTTTCTGAAAATGGATTAAATCAAGCTCAATTCCGTATTTATGTAATGTTTCTGACAAAGAATTCTTTTATAGTTCTAAAGCATTTTAGCTTATTTGCCTCTGTACACATCTAAAATAAATTAAGTGCCTCAGTTTCAGAGTATAATGCAAATGCAGAGATGGCCAAATTATGCCCTGAATTCTTTATTCTTTCAGTTTCAGAGTGTAATGCAGATGCAGAGATGGCCAAATTCAGGAAGACAGGTTTGATTTGCTATAAAAGAGTATCCATCTCACAGATCCATCAACTGCATAAATTCATTGCCACTCTAAACTATTGAACAATTACTACAGTTCCCCCATAATGGCTGCAAATTTTGTATGTATGATAAAAGAACTAAGGCATGCACTAATAAATTAATTCAATGTACTACTAGTACTACTGATGAACTAGCAGGAAATGTTGGATGCTTTAACCAGTTGACAAGGCAATCATTTGGTAGAAAAGATCAAAGATCAATTGCACAAGATATGATTTAACTTGCCACCTTTGCTGAGGTTTAATGTTGGACTTATATTAGTAACACATCAATTTCAGCAAACTGTTTTGAGTGGAATTTCAAGTGACAGGTGTATTTCATTTGCAGCTTAAGACCAAAATTATTGTTCAGTTTTATCGTTCATGCTTACAACTTAACATACAAAATCGATTTAATAAATCTCCTATTCAATTTAACATCCGCAAATGTAGATTCTCTAGTATAGTTACAAGCTAGTATACACAGCCATTTACAAGCAAGTATATGCATTTGTAGAGGAAAAATTCAGACAAGTTTAACACTGAGGAGAGGAAGGGGAACAGAAAGTCAGGTGGGGGGGGAGGAGTGGACACCTGAGGATTTCACCGCGCCACCGCTTTTGCCGGTGCTTGTGTCGGACAGATGCGACGCGCCGTGCCACCGGCCGCGACGCCGCCTGCCGGGAGGACTAGCTGCCGGCCGCGCCGCCGCCTGCCGGTGCCTGCCTCTGACCTGATGCCACGCGTGGTAGGAAGACGACGGAGGAGGCAAGGACGCTGAAGGGGAGGAGACGCCAACGGTGCCGGAGGTGGAGAGGGCGGGGGCGACGGACGGCGACGGAGAGGGCAGGGAAAACGTACGGGGACGGAGGGAGAGGAGAAGGCGGCGAGGGTGGGGGAGGCGGACGGCGACTGAGGAGGCGGACAAGGCGGCGACGGAGAGGGCGGGGGATACGGATGGTGACGGAGGGGGTGGACAAGGCGGCGACGCCGGGGGAGGAATAGCGACGAGACTGCGTGCAACGGAGTCGGACCTAATGCGATGCGATAAGGAGTCCGACCTGATGTGATCGAACCAAAGAAAACAATCCATATTAAAATTACCCCTAAACGATATTAGGAGATTACTTAATTGCCCTTTATATATTAGAAGATTACTTACCTGCCCTTTATTTAAACAATCCATATCAAAATTACCCCTAAACGATATTAGGAGATTACTTACCTGTCCTTTATATATTAGAAGATTACTTACCTGCCCTTTAAAATAAATAAAGGGTCCCTATTAGGATTTATACCCATCAGGTTTGCTTTATGGTTTAAAACATGAGACCAGCATCCTAAAAAATAAAAAGGGGATGCTCGAGTAAGATGATAGAGCTTCAGAATGCTATTGAGTTACACCGACATTTGCTACAGAGCAACATTCTATTATTACAATCTACAGTCTATTATTACAATCTAGCACTCTATAAAATCTATCACTCTATAAAATAAGTGTATTTAAAAATAATTGAATGAAATCAGCACACAAAAATAAATTTAACCAAATACAAGATCGGGAGAACACATTATTTCGGCAATGAGTTGAACAATCCCTAAATCCAGATACCACAGTTCATCCAAGTTCAGTTTGATGCTCGATTATTATTCATACAGAGGCATAAATAACACGCATACAAAACCGTAAATAAACACTCAAACAAAGTAACAAACACACTTCGAAAACACCACTCAAATGGCGGCTGGGCGCCCCTACTGCGGCTGCAGCTGCAGTTTCTCGTGCAGCTGCGGCGGCGCGACGACGTCGACCCTGGCGACACCATCCCTGGCGTCGCCGGCGACCTTGGCGACCTCCACCTCGCCGACGACGTCGGCCTCGCGCTCGTGGTCGCCTTCCTCCTCCTCGTAGTTGGGGTCGTTGCGGTCGATGGCGGCCGGGAGGGGATCGAGCTGGCTGTCGACGATGCTGTCGGGGCCCTCCCAGGTGAACTTGCCGCCGCGGCCGGACTTGGGCGGCGGCGCGCCGATGCCGCGGGAGCCGTTCGCCGGGTGGCGCTCCATGCGGTGGAGCCCCTGCTGGTCCAGCTTCCGCTCGAAGTGCCTGGCCGTGTCCGGGTGCCGCGTCTCCGGCACCGCCACCTTCTCCGTCACCTTCTTCCCCTCCTCGTCCCGGTGCGTCGCGCGCATGTACATCATCGATCTTCGCCGCCGGTAGGTCGGTATTCACAACTTTCTCCGGCGAATTGGTTGCGGTGGTTGGATTGCGATCTGGGTGATGAATCGATGAGCGCAGAGACGCGGGTATATAAGCGGCGCGCGGCGAGGCGAGCGGCGGAGGAGTGGAGAAGAAGAGTGTGTGGAGAGGGGGAGGAGGTGGCGGAGGCGGAAGGCGACGCGTGGAGAGGAAGGCGGTAAGGGATGGATGGATAGGGGGCCACGTCATGTGCAGGTGTGTGTCCAGGTGCAACGAACGCCGAAAGGATTTGTTCCAGGTGTTGCACGCAGCACGCCTGGTTGGTTGCATGAATTGCATCGATAGCGTCACGGGAAATTTAAAGCCCGTATTATTTTCTATCAAGAAACACAGTATAAACACTTAGTGAAACTATAAACGTGCACCCTACTTATAGGCTGAGTTTTTTTTTCCTTCACTTTTCCGACCTATTTCTTTCTTTTCTATGCGCATGCTTTCGAACTACTCTCTCCATTTCACAATGTAAGTCATTATAGCATTTTCTATATTCATATTGATTATCTATCTAGATTCATCTATCTATGAAGAGTTTTACTCCCGTCCGGCAGTCTGTACCAGCCAGTACTGGTACTAGGAGGTACCAGATTAAATCTGGCCGTCCAACTTGAAAGGATACGATTGGAAAACAACAAATAGAAGCGGAACAATTCCGGAGTCACACGCCGCCGCTTTCCTCCCTCGCTGCGCTCTTTCTTTCCTCCCTCCCCGCATCGGTTCTTTCTCATCTATTCCTCCATCTGAGCGCAGAAACGGAGCAGTTGCGCCGCATCCACGCCCCGCCGAACGGTTTTTTCCCATCCATCTGCCGTCCGTGGTCGCGGTACTGGAGAAACGGCGCGCTCGCCCCGCATCCATGCCTCTGCCGGTGCCGATTTTTTCCCATCCATCTGCTGTCCGCGACAGTGTCACCAACAACGCCGCCGCATTCACGAGCGAAGATGTCATGGTATTCTGTGTCCCCTATCCCCCTCCCTCGACAGCTCAAGCAAGTACCTAACCTCCCCCGCTGCCATGGCGCAGCCTAGGCCCCCATTACGGCTCAAACACTACTCCACTATATGGTCTAGTTATTTTGTAATTAACAATTCAATCTGCCATGTTTCTTGTAATGAATTTGTGAGAAAAGCACAAGCTTTTGCTGGAGACTTTAATCTTTGAATGGAAAATTTTAAGCTCATCTGTCGTCCGTTTTTTGGTATGCTGTTTACAGGGCATGATCTATCGTTGAATGGAGCTTTTGACTTAATTTTTGTCTGCTGTGAACAGAGCATGATATATATGTCGTATTGAGAGCCATTAATATTTTGTCTGATGTTTTTGCTCGATCTCCTGTAAAATATATATCATTCTGTGGAGTGATCAGCAGCACAACAATGGTTACAAGCAAGTGTTTTCAATGAACAGCAATCCAGCTATAGATGTAAAAGTTGAGGAATCACTGGAGTAGAGTGCTAGACACATGGGCAATAATTACTGAAAAAAAGTATAATTTACATGATTCTGAAAGACTGAAACAAACATACTCGTACTAGTGTGTTGTAATTCAGAGTTTCAGACAGTGGGAGATAGATAAACAGAATTCTGCAAATTTTCAGCCAAACAGAACGAACTAGAACTTAGCAAGAATCTAAAATTGAAGGATAAGTTAGACAACCCATCTGAAGAAGCTGTAATTTAGAGTTTCAAATAGTGGGAGATAGATAAACAGAATTCACATGGATAGGTTGCTGAGACATCAACATGCTGAGTGATCCCCATCCATTAATTCTGGTAATTGACATGTACAAAATCAACAATGGCAAGCATAGTACATATTATCAAATAGCTTCATGAGAAGGAACACAGCTACAACTACTGTTCCTATGAACCAATTTCTAATGTCATCAGTCTCTTTTTTCTGCTTAGACAACTTCTTGAATGAATTTTCTATGTCTGAAAGCCGGTCATGGTCAACCATTTCCAGCTCTAGCTTCATTTTATCTCTTCTGCCTTCGTTTTCTCAACATAACAGTTGAGTGCTTGAGCTGTGGGCAATGCTACAGAATAACCAGAGGTTGAAGAAGGATGCCCACCACGAACCACCCGCTGCCGACGCCATTGCCGCCGCCACCTCACTGACACGGGCCCAAGCACCACACACCGCCGCCAACACCACCTCACCACCGCAGCCCACGGACCAGCCACCACCTTCTCGTCGCCTCCCATGGACCACCTACTCGTCGCCTCCCACGAATCAGCTGTCGCTGCTGCCGCCTCCGAGCGTTGCTCCCGTCGAGCACCACCGCCACCTCTCACGGATCAGAGCTGAATCGAGATGGATCCCTACGCGAAAAGACAACATTACCCTTCCACCCCTCTAACTATTCCAGTACCACCTCATGGGCAAATATGTACCTGGAGGTACCGTATAATTTCCACCGGCCGATCGAGCTAAATGAATGGCTGAGATTTGGTACCGGGCTGGTTACCTGCTGGATGGGAGCAATCCTCTTTGATAAAACTTCTATAATTCCAACCATTTAATAATTTTTCAGATGCTTTCTTTGTTTTAAGAAAATGATATACGTACCTACCATAGTATCAAAAACTTATTAGTAGATTTTACGAACTTATTTTATTGTAAGATTGATGGCTCAAATTTTAAAAGTTTAATTAAATCTTTTTTTCGTGGGGAGTTTAATTAAATCTTGTAATCATAATGTAGTAAAATGTTTATAACCGTACGGATATTAGATTTTGAGACTATGAGATTCATACTGGACACAAACCGAGCAACAATGCGGAGGAGGAACACAATGAAGCAGGAGTACAAGAGAAGGTCACAGCGAGAATGAATCACATCCAAATGTCCCAGCAAAATGACACATCCCCAACTCTAACTGAGAGCATATAAACTATCACATTCTGTCAGATTCTGGCTAAACTGTTCTTATGTTGGCCTGTTTCATCCCCCAACCAAACTGCAAACTACTCAAGACACGTGATTAGATAGAATTGAACCCAAACACATGTCACGTGACAGCCATGCCACAACAACGCATGTCAGGCACGAGGGCAACAAAAAAATAGGACAAATTGATCCTACTCTTGAGGAGTCAAGCAGACATTGATGTCAGGTGAAGGCCTGTGCACCATGGACTGCGAGCTTGCAGCTGCAGGCCACCCAACCATGGCGAAACCAGTACTGGAGCTCGATGAATTCAGGTTCATGGCGCCTCTACTCTGCTCCACACCGGCATGTGCTTGTGGAGGCATGGATGAGATCGAAACCTGCGGCGAACGGCAGCCATTGTTGCCAGGAGCTGCCTGAGAAATGGGCATCGCAGCTGTGAGCACAGGAGGAGGATGAAGAGGAGCCATCGGTGCTGGAAATGCCGGAGCAGCAGATGGTTGTGGATGTAGGCCCATTCTTCTCTGATGCTGCTTCAGGTTGTTGGGCAAGAAGCTCCCCACAATCACCTGTCCATGGAGATATTGTGTTTAGAGCTTCAGAGAAAAAAAATGGCTACAGAGTCTACCATGCATGAGTGACAGAGTTAACAACGAAGTTCTCTATCTTCAGTTGTAAAAGCATGGTACTTGGTTCGACTGAATTACGTTATCGAAAAATCGATTAATTTTGTCCAGGTTCTTCAGTTGTTGTTGTTGTTTCTTTACCTGAATAGGGCTGGCGGCTCGCAGCATCCCAGCTACTACACCGCCGACAACACGGCCATCAGGGCCGGCAAGCGAGACACTGAGCCCGCCGGTTCTCCTCCGAACGCCTTCCTCCGCAATTGTAAAGGAGCCAGTCAGTTGAAGAATCTCAAAGCAGCCCTGGCAACCACATATCCATAAATGCTGCCATCTTAGAGTTCAGTGAGGATAACTGTAAACACAAATGTGTATGCACGTACGATAAGTAACAACTTCGCTTCAATTGTTATCCTACACTGATATAGGCATACAGCCGCTCTGTCTCTTAGGCAGGGCCCTGTTTGGCACAGCTCTAGCTCCCAACTCCAACTTACCTGGAGCCGGGGCTGTGCCAAACGGTCCAGATCCTCCATTTTTTGGAGTGGAGCTAGCAGATCTACTCCTAGAAAATGAACTATGGGGGTGGAGCTGGGTTTTTCTGCTCCACAGCTCCACTCCATCCTAAAATACCTACTACCCTTTAATTTTTTAGTCTATTTATAAAAAATGCCATTCAACTACCCTTCACTCCTCTCATCCCGTTCTCTCTCCTCCCCCCATCTTCCTCACGATGCCAACCGAGCTGCGGGAGCGGGAGCGGGGGAGGGGGCGATAGGCCGGCGCGGAGACCACGGGCGGGTGGCGCGCCTGGGGACAACGTGTGGCCGGCGGCGCGCGGCACGCCTGGCGACAACACCGGCCGGCGGACGAAGCGCCTGGGAACGGCGAGCGGCTGGTAGGCTGGTGGTACGCGGCCAGCGATTTTTTCAATTTTTTTTCTTTTTTTTTCATATCTAGAGCTGAAACGTAGCCAAACACTTTTCAACGAGTCTTCAACTCTAATAGGAGCTAGCTCTCACTTGAGTTAGAGTTTGGAGCCCTACCAAACGGGGATGGGAGTGGGAGACATTAGCACAAATCACATGCTAATCTAGTAATATACCACTGTTTTTTTTGGCCGGGCATCACTGACTGTTTTCTGGACAACGTTATTGAGACTCGCGTACAATTTGCAGACTTGAGCGTATACTCCCTCCGTCCTATAAAACCCACCATAATACCAGATGTGACACATTAATATGTTACATACAGTTCTAGATTTTTTTTGAGTAAAGTCCATCATCGATCCCTAAACTTGTACCGCTGTGTCATCCCGGTCCCTAAACTCACAAATCAACCGTTCAGGTCCTCAAACTTGTTCGACTGTGTCATCCCGGTCCCTAAACTTGCAGATCACTCGTTTAGGTCCTCCAACTTGTTCAGTTGTGTCACCCCGGTCCCTAAACAGGACGGTCTAAAAACTTTATATCAAAAAATAATTTATAACTTTTTCATGTGAACTCTAATGAAGACAAACTTTATATCAAAATTGTATCCCTCGACGTGACCTACAACTTTGTAGTTGAAAAGTTTTTGAATTAAAACTGTTTAGGGTCCCAAAATATTGTTGCATGTTTATAGATTTTGAAATTTTAATTTTAAAATTACATTTTGGGACAAAAAATGACTTAAAATAAAATAATTCAACTACAAAGTTGTAGATCGCGTCGAGGGCTACAAGTTTGATATAAAGTTTGTCTTCATTAGAGTTCACATGAAAAGTTATGAATTATTTTTAAATATAAAGTCTTTAGACCGTCCTATTTGACCCAAATGATATTCAAATCCAAGTTTTGGGACCGGGTTGACACAACTGAACAAGTTGGAGGACCTAAACAAGTGATATGCAAGTTTAGGGACCGGGATGACACAGTCGAACAAGTTTGAGGACTTGAACAGTCAATTTGCGAGTTTAGAGACCGGGATGACACAGCAGTACAAGTTTAGGGACCGGTGGTGGACTTTACTCTTTTTTTTTTATGGGACAGAGGGAGTATGTTACTACAGACTGCCGGAATTGTATATGTGCTATCATGAACATAGAAAAATTGGGAAGAAGACTTCACCCTTGATCTGTCTTCAAAAGTGGCTCGCATAAGGTGGTTAAGACTTAAGACACCATTACAGAAAAAATACTTTCTCAACTTAGGCAAGAAGACCATTTATTGTATCTAGTACTATAAAGGTGGTGATACTGAAACTAAGAGATTAGGTAGAGACAGGCCAAAAAAACTGAATAGACCGACTTGAGACATACCCATAACTCCATCAGAAGTTCAGGCAGCCGTCAAATTAGCTCACAACATTTCCAAGTATCATACTATCACACGATGCAAGGAGTGAACTCCATTTCATACCTCGTAGGAGAAGGTGCTACCAGACGAGCCAGGCTGGTTCAATACAACATTTGAGATGGTGCCATTGGCAGCGAGAATGCAAACCGAGCGAGGACCCTTCTGCGAGAAGGACATTATGCGAGCCGCCACATCCTACCAACGAATTGCACCAAAGAAACAGTCAGTGTTCATCCTTTCATAATCAAATCACAATGCCAAGCTAACTGTTAAAAAAAAAACTTCAGTTATGGCTTACCTCCCCTGTGGCGACAATGATGACATGAGGCGTGAAGCTCCCTCCAGCTGATAACGCATACCATTCCCCTTTACAAGCATTGAGAATACCAATCAGACAAAGCGATGTGCACTTTGTTGTCTACTACCAGACTACTCCTTAACTGAAGTTTATCCTCATGAAAACCAACGAAATCGCCCAAAGGATTGGGTCGATTAGTTAAACCACCTAGGAAAATCACCAAATAATTCATACATATCCAAAGGTTTGGACTGAGATGAATCCGGACAAACACAAGAGCATGAACAGCAGAAATGTGCTTATTCCTAACGGTTATTGACTGGTAAGCAGTAGAGCCCTCTTCAGCTCAAAAGGCAACATTACACATCATCCTCTCCACTGGACCCCATGCAAGCAATGAAACAGAAATTCACCCCCAAAAAAAATGAAGAAGAGACACCAATAACAAGAACATAAACATGAAAAAAAATGGAAACTGGGTATTTTCCAAATCCAAAGAAAATCATGTAATGAACTCTGCATTTCTGAAGAAGCAATATATACTGACCTAGATTGGCAAGGATCTGGCGCCGCCCGGACCCTTTCGGCCGGCCACGACGCCGTCTGGAGCTCAACCCAGCATGCTCGCCATGGCCACTCACCTGCATGCTGCCGCTGTCCCCTGCACCCAAACTCCGCGCGGCTGGCGTTGCAATGGCGGCGGCGGCGGCATCCTCCGCTCCTCCTCCTCCATGGACAGCTGCCGCCGGTGGAGGTGACGGAGTGGGGGACATCGACGACGGCGAGGAGGGAGAAGACCGGTACCCTTTCGCTGCTGCTGCGGCTTCTTGTTGTGCAGCTGCTTCAGCCATGGAACAATCTGCTGTTCTGATGAACAGGCCGTAGCCTGCTGGCGCTGCTGCTGCTTCATGGCCACTTGCCACAGCAATGCACTCCCTTGATCTTGATCCCTCCATGTACAAGCATGAGAGAGAGAGAGAGAGAGAGAGAGAGAGAGAGACAAGGTTTTCTTGCTTGTTTTTCTTGGTTTTCTTGCTTGGACACAACCAAACCAAGGAGGAAGACAAACAACAGTGAGACAGTGAGACACCTCACTCTAGTTTTGCTTTGTGTCTGGTTATCACCAGGCAGCACAGCAAGTATAGTAGTAGCTGGGAAAAAGAATTTGAAGATGGGGAGATGACATGAATAAAAATGAGATTTTGGAGGTGGAGACTGCACAAAAATGGCGGGGTTAATGTGACTGTCTCTATCTCTCTCTCCTTTGACCAACCAGCTGGATTAGTTGGACACTTGGACTGCAAAAGTGTACTGGAGTACTACAGCATAGGGTACGCCCATCTTAATGAACAGTACGATGAGAACTCATACACACAGTATCTTCAGTCAAGAAATTGATAGATAAACGAAATAATATGTGAAATAAACTACACAAATACATTTAAAGCTCTATTTGAAAAATTAGATTTTTTTTCTCAAATTAGATTGTCTTATATGAAAATCATGCAAAATCGCATGTAGTTTACAATCTTGTTTTGGAGCTAAAGTTCGAGTACCAACAAGGCAGCAAGATAAATGAATCTTGCAATATCTTAAAAAAATTAAGTTTTCAACCGATCTTGATCAAAGTTCGACACATAAGAGCAAGTTTAATAGTATAGCCTACCACTGGCTCCAATTCAGCTATAGTCAATTTAATAGCTAATTCATACAATAGTTACCAATAAAATATACTATACAATTACTATCTAGTCCCACCTATCATACACACATGCATCTTGAAGTCCGTGTTGCAGCTGGCTACAAATATGCAACCAGCTGCTCTTCTCTCTCCTCTCTTATCTCCTCAAAATGTGTTTATAGATGGTTTATAGTATGCTATTATACTTGCTCGTTAACTCTAACGAGTAGGTTGTGAGAGCTTAGAAATTCGTCGAATATATTTCAAATTTTGAATGAAAATGTGGACGTACTCTCTCCCTCAATCCAGTTTTTTTAATCATTGTTCATATTTCCAGAGTAAAGAGAAAATCAAGCACGTTGGAGAATGTGCCTGAAGTTCATTACTTTGAGCAATATTTATTGCACTGCAATTAACTACTCTATCCGTTACAAAGCCAGTGTAGTAATTGGTGATGTTAATTTTACTGTTTTGATCAATGTTTCTTAGCAGTACAAACACATCCCGTATTGTATTATCTATTCTAAAACTTTTATTAATAAATAAATACCTGAAAGTACAAAACTAAGCATCTTGCATGATAAAGCTATAAAAATTAATCAATCTTGACTGGACAATTTCATTTTATTAGTGGTCAGACTTTAGTAGTGAAGCAGAGAGAGTATTCCCGAACAATATGGTCTCCAAAACATATTTCCTCCTTCTTATACAAAGCTTTTGGATATATTTTTAATACGTCTGTATGTATTGTTTAGTGTGTTCAAACTAAATAATTTAAAAAAAATTAATAGTCAAAGTTAAGAAATTACAGTACCAGAGAGACTACTATTAATTACTTTCTTCGTTCATTTGTGGTTCATCCCATTTATCTCGAAATAAATATATATTTTTAAGTAATCATTGTATTAGAATTTATAAAAGTAGAAAATGATTTCATTGAGAGTTAATAAAGTATGAGTATTCTAATTTTTCTTATTTTGTATTGGTATATGTGGGGTTTACAGACATTGACGTGTGAAGAAATAAAATGGTGGGACCATATATAAATGAAATTGAAGTAAAGGATCCACACATTTTTCTTACCTCAAGGAGAGCAGCTTTCCCTATGCTCCTTCCTCTTTAAAATTCCCAGGCTTGCATAAAAAGGCATCAAAAGCAGATTCTTGTTTACTCCGGGGGTGTTTAGATGGGGCTAAAACTTTTTAGTCCGTGTCACATCGAATGTTTGACGCTAATTTAGAGTATTAAATATAGACTAATAAAAAAACTAATTTCATAAATGAAAGCTAATCTGTGAGATGAATTTTTAAGCCTAATTAATCCATAATTATGAAAAGTTTACTATAGCATCACATTGTCAAATCGTGGTGTAATTAGACTCAAAAGATTCGTCTCGCGAATTAGTCCAAGGTTATAGAATAGGTTTTATAATTAGTGTATGTTTAATACTTTAAATTAGTGTATAAACATCCGATGTGACAGGGACTTTAAGTCCCTGTTTCCCAAATAGGCCCTCATTCATTTTCCAGCGGTTACAGTAAACCTTCAGGGCAGTCTCCAAATGAGACTCTCGTACAGTACGAGAACTGTTAAAAGTGTAGTACTTTATGAGAACATCAATTGACAAAGCGAAACAATTCTGTTTTTGTTTAAACTCTGCCTGTACAGCTGTCCATTAGGCTTCTGACGGGGTAAGACCGAAAGTTCATTTGGTTGATCAGTAAAACTGGAGTTAATTCAAAGTGAACAATAAAGAATCCCAGTCAAATCCATGATGTGCTGCAACTGTAAAAGCACGAAATCCTCGTTGCTGTAAAACGAATGAAATGATCTGAGTAAACAAGGCCACTGATGCCATCCTAGCCCTTATTATACCTGCTAGTATCATCCATAGAAAGAAAATGCTAAAGGAATCAAAAGACCAGACTACAACTCTAAGAGCTAAGAGCATGTACAATAGTAGACTATATATTAGCCAGCTATAAACATATTTTAATGAGATAAAAGATAAGAGAGAAAAGTAGCGGGCTACAGATCTGTAGCCAACTGCAGCATGAACTCCAAGACACAATGTGTGTATGATAGGTGGGACCATATACTAATAGTATAGTAGTAAGCAATTATTATATGAATTAGCTATTAGATTGGCTATAGATGAATTGGAGCTAGTAGTGAGCTATACTATTAAACTTGCAGTATAGCCCGCTGCTAGCTCTAATTCATCTATAGCTAATCTAATAGCCAATTCATACAATAGTTGCTTACTATATTATGAATACCTGGTCCCACCTGCCATACACACATTACGTCTTGGAGTCCGTATTGCAGCTGGCTATAAATCTATAGCCCGCTGCTCTTCTCTCTCTTCCTTTATCTCTTTAAAATATGTTTACAGCTGGCTTATAGCTTGCTATTGTACCTGCTCTAATAAGCAAAAGGAAGAACCACTAAGAGTATGTACAATAGCATGCTATAAGCTAGCTATAACCACGTATCGAGAAGAAAAGAGAAGAAAGCGGGCTACAAATTTGTAGTTAGCTGCAACATGGACTCCAAGACATTATGTGTGTATGACAAGTGGGATTGGGTATTAATGATGTAGTATATTTTTATAGTTAATTATTATATGAATGGTCTATTAGATTAGCTATAGATGATTTGGAGCCAATAGTTGGCTATACTATTAAACTTGCTCTAAAGTAAGGATTCTCTGAGTCGCTTCCATCCACCTCGCTCCCGTCCCAGGGGCGACATGGACGGCGAAAAACTCTCCCCCGCCACCCCTTCCCACCTCCCCCCCTTCGACTCGCCGCCGCCCGAGCGGCTCGCCAGCAAAGTCAAACGGTTGCAAGGACGGCGGCTGCGGGGCGCTCTCCCCACGAGGATACCCAGCCGGCGAGGACATCGGGGTTGCTTAGCGGCAGCGAGAAGCGGGAGGCGACGGTCGGGCGTTGGCGCGATGGATCTGGCAGCCGGCGCGGTGGATCCACCCCCCGGCAGCGGATCTGGTGTCCACGATGGTGGGGGCGGCGACAGCGGTCAGAGGCTCGGGCGGCGCGACGAACCTTTGTGGATAGCGGCGGCGACGGCGCATCCAAGTGAGGGCAGCCGCGGATCCGGCCCCCACGCGGCGGGATCCGGCCTCCCTGGGCCGAATCTAGCCGGGAAGCTGCAGGGCCGGCGGCCGCGGCTGCACGACAACGGTGGTGGTGGTGCGACAGCTAGGCAACTGAGGCTGGACGGCGTCGGTGTCGACGGCGCTGGATGCGGCGTAGTGTCCGGGCGGCTAGATGGCAGCGGTGGCGCCGGTGACGGATGTCGACGGCCCACATCGGCGGCCTAGGGCCGCCGCGATGTGGCTTGGAGGCTCGACCGACGACGTTGAGTGGCCCGAGTGGCCGTTGGTGGGCGGCAAGGTGGCGGCGGAGTGGTGGCATCGACAAGGCCGGCGGTGGGTTTGGCGGCGAGGTCGTCTTCCTTGTGGTTGGCCAGGTTACCACTATATTTAAGGAGCTCTTCCCCTTCTTTATAGGGAGCTTTTAGGCACGGGTAGAGGCGATGGCCGGCCTACAGGGAAGACTCAGGTTGCCAAGGCGAGGTTGTTCCCGGTCAGATCCCATAGGCCGGATTCGACGTGGAGGCCGACAGGCGGCGTGGCAGAGGTGGCCTGGGTCAGCGTGCTAGGGAGTAGCGGCGTGGTAAAGGGCGCTGGCGGCAGGGTCGTCTTCCTTGCGGTCGGGCAGGCTAACCCTGTTTGGGGAGCTCCTCCCCTTCTCTGTGGGGAGCTTCTTGGCAGGATGAAGGTGGTGGTCGGTCTACAAGGAAAACTCTGGTTGCTGAGGCAATGTTGTTCCTTGTCCAGGCACCCTTGGGCCGGATTCGACTGGGAGGCCGGCGAGCGGCGTGGCGGAGGCAGCCTGGGTCAGCGCGCTGGCGGAGGTGACCGGTGCTATGGCAGTCTTGTCATTGGCAGGACTGGAAGTCGGCCGGTGGAGGGGCGTAGGTCAGGTGTGGCGGAAGCCATGTGCCGCCGGTGTTAGATGGTGGATTCGGATTGAGCGACGGACCACGGCAGTAGGGGATTTCGAGCGAAAGCTTAGCCCAATTTCTTTGGGCCAACAGTGACCACGCTTTCGGGCGTGGTAAGCCTCCTGAGGGCATTGTTGAGGTACCCCCTCCTTCCTTGGAAAGGAGCTCTGGGTGAAAACCTTATCCAGTTCTTTGGATGGATGACGACGGCGTCTTTCGGCGTCACGACCCTCGTGAGGGTGTCGTTGTAGAGTCTTCGCGCCGTGGTGGTTTGTTGTCCCGGTGGTGATCGGTCTCGCATAGCGACGGCCGGTTCCGTGCTTGGCTTCCTCTCTGTAGCGTGTTTGGACGGTTGGCACATGGTTCGAAGCGTGTGCTCTGGTGCACATCCTTTCTCGACAGCCAGCTGTTGATGTAAAACTTTTCTTGTAACATTTCTTTCTATCTTAATTATATTGAATGACCTCCTTCGATAATTCCGGCAAAGAAGCAAAAGGAAATACTGGAGTATCAAAACATATGCTCTACACTAGAAATTGCAGGGAAGTTTGTATATAAGAGAGCATGGGAGAGGGAGTTTCAGTTTCCTTTAATTTTACTTGGAAACAATGATGTCAACAGCTGTAACTCTGGAGCTGTACAGCAGCTGGAGCAAATTTTCTGCAGCATCTACTGCGGCATGCCGGCATCTACTGCGAAAGATGGAAATGTGTGAAGTGCAGATCAAAAGGATGGATACGCAATGCACTAGTAATAACTGTTGCATTTATTGCATTTCAGATACTGGAACATGCACAAACAATTCAGAATGAATACTACAGTTTTTCCATGTACAACATTTCAGATACTTGAGCATGGCCGTGTTTAGTTGTTTTGGTAAAAAAAATTTACGTATACGGACACATATTTAAAGTATTAAATATAGACTAATAATAAAACAAATTACAGATTCCACGTGTAAACTGCGAGATGAATCTATTAAGCCTAATTAATTCATCATTAGGAAATGTTTACTGTAGACCACATTGTCAAATCATAGCGTAATTAGGTTCAAAAGATTCGTCTCGCAATTCACATACAAACTGTGCAATTGGTTTTTTTCGTTCACATTTAATGCTTCATGCATGTGTCCAAACATTTGATGTGACGGAAAAGTTGGAAGTTTGAAGGGAACTAAACACAGCCCATGTAAACAACATTATTCAGGCCACATTACCAAATATTCATTTGCCTATTGTTTTCAGCTTTTTCATATCAAGCGGTTAGTGTCTATTCCAAATCTTTTTGGAATAGGTACCTTGCAAAGAAGCAAGATCTCCTATAACTGTCACAAACATTTTCCCCTTCAAAATTGAAATAATTTTCTAAATATAATAATCCTGTTATAACATACCCCCTCCGTTTCACAATGTAAGACTTTCTAGCATTGCTCACATACATATAGATGTTAATGAATCTAAACACATGCATATGTCTAGATTCATTAACATTTAAATGAATATGGACAATGCTAGAAAGTTTTACATTGTGAAACGGAGGAAGTATTTGCTAAACAAAATAAACATGTATAAAATATTTAATTAGAAATCAATATGCCCATTTCAAAAATTTGATCAGAGATCTGCCCAAAAATGGCATGTTTGTGGAGAAATGGAAACCTTTATGAGGAAAAGGGTAAAAAGATAGATCATACTCTGATAATTGAAACAAAATACAATGCAAAAGAGCTGTATTTCATTACTGCACTTACTTTATTAGTTGTTAGTAGGAATTATTCGTCTGAAACCAGGAATTGTAAAACACAGTTGCCATCCATATGGACATCACCATTCATGAAGGACATTACAACTCATGCAAACATGGGCCATGCACATAACAGGATAAATGTGCTACTATAAATTTTACTTTCAGCGTGATAATGTTGCCAGTTGTTAGTTTGTTACGCAGAAAATAATTTTGACCTTCTTTAAGTTTTTTTTCCCTCAATCATTTCTATTCAGATAAATGTTTGGAACAGCATTTTCTTTCTATTACTTGATCTCAACAACTGAGCAATCATAATTTTGTTCAGCCAAACCCACATAAGCAGGATCACTAATGACACAGGTGTAATCGACATGAAAACCAATGCAAAATATTGTGATAGTATCGTACATTACTAGTGATTTTGTGTGTAGATACTTGATGTGAATCCCCAAGTCTTAATATAAAGATGCGCAATACTTGTATGTATTCTCGAAAAGAAATTTGTGTCTTAATACTAAAACAGACCAATTAGAAACCTGACAAGTTTATGAAAAACCCATTTTTGGTAGACAAAAACTAGAAATAAAAAAGACAGAAAAAGACTATCCTTGAAGTTTTTGGAGATATTTGACTTGGCAGATGTGGAGTATGGATCAATTGATAGCCCTCTTTGCTTGATATAAGTACTCACAAGGAGCCAAAACTCGCCGCCCAAAGTTTAATAGTAGTAATACTAATAGGGTGATTACCGATAAGGCTTTCATGATTAAATTAGGCATGATGGTGGTATTTTATCCTAACACAAGGAAGGGGGGAATTCTGATCTCAAACTTTTTTGCAAGCCTATTGTAGATATAAAAGAAAACAGGACGAGAGGAAGCAGCTAGCACACCTCTGTTGTTTACAACTTTTAATATGCTAAAGAAGTGAAAACAATACGGGAACCAAAATTATAAAGCTGCCAGATAATAATTAAAGTGAAAACAAACAGAGAATTCAGACCTAGAGTACCATCATATGATGCTTTTTCTAACCTTTCACATGACCTTCAAGCACCCTTCCCAGCCAACAAGCTCCCCCACTTGGCTGAGGTCTGGGGACAATACAAAAATTACTGAATGAGTTAACAGATCGATGTTAACTCAAGAAAAGAGAAATCCTTCATGACTTCAGATCAGAAAATGCATACCTTCTTTATGATAATGATATATATGTGAAAAAAAAATGTCTATCACGCTAGCTATTATAGATTTCCTCAAAATGTTATTAGTATTGTTTTGAGATTCACGCTAAGGTCGAGTATACAATATATTCAATGAAATGTGGAGCACATACCTGTGGGTTTGCATCTATGTTCACAGTAAAAGCAAAAGGTTGTTTACCTCCTACCTTGCCGATGTATATAGTACATGTGGCGATCGCGCTCACCCAATTACTAAATATTTCAGTGACTTCAATGTAATATACAGTAGTTTGTACTTTCCAACTGAGGCCCTGTTTAGATTCTAACTTTTTCTTCAAACTTTCAACTTTTTCGTCACATCGAACTTTCATACATATACAAACTTTTAACTTTTCCGTCGCATCGTTCCAATTTCTTTAAACTTCTAATTTTGGCGTGGATCTAAACACACCCTGACTTGAAGCTGAAAAAATATTGGTCTATAAATAACATAATGAGGATGAGGACTCTATGATACGGCTTTCACTGACACAAAACAATGAAACTAATGTTATTTTATATCTGAAACAAAATAAATAAACTGATCTATGTATAGTGCAGATCTGGGAATGACGCAAAACTTCAGAAATCACTCCGCTGAACAAAACGGAGGTAATACCGCAATACACAATGCAAGCAACATGTGTGGTAAAATATAAACAAACATAACTACTGAACTAGAGTGGTCCAAGATCAACAACTTCAATTAAGCATCTAGTGAGAACCGAGATTTCATATGCAAATACAAAATATATCCTTCCATTATTCATTCTATAATCCTTAGTGTTTTCACAGGTGCTATCATCAGTAAAATTCATGCTTCTAACAAGTCACAAAAGGTGTTCATCTTAGCTCTAGAGGTTAGTGGTAGAAAGGGGAAACAAATGTAGTCATCATGATGAATTCAGGGTGGCAAACACATTGCTGCATTTCCAGATCAACCTGTGATTTCCGAACCATTATGCTAAGTACACAAACACAATATGGCAACAAAATGATCGGCAGAACACCGAATTTTAAATTCGGCGCGAGAGAATTTCATAACGAATTCTGGGAACTGCATTGCTGCCACCCCAAAGAAAAATCCAGACCAGCATACGTACCGGCAACACCTAGCTTGATTTCCCCAGACATCGGAGAACAAGATTACGCAGAAGATCGTGCCGGATCAGCATCATCAACCTCGCTACAATGTTGAGTGACTGTGTTAGTATCAAGCATGAAGATGAGAGGAGCGGAGGAGTTTGTGGGAAGTGATTGCCGGAGAGGGTCACCGTCTCACCGATTTAGCCGAGGAGTTTGAGAGTCGACGCCGCGTCCGTCCACGACTTGGGGAGGAGACGGAGACAGTCCGCCGCAGATGAGGGTAACGGAACCGGGCGATTGACGAGGCCGGCGAATCAATGGTGGGTTTCTGCCGTTCCGGCGGTGGCGGCCCGCCTCGATCGCCGGCGGCCGCGGCTCCGTTCACCGTGGGGTGGGGGTGGGGCGGCGCCGGCGTGATCGCGTCGTGGGATTGGACCGATTCTCCGGCCCAGTGGGCCGGATGGGCCCAGGAGGCCGCATGGCTCGCTCGTTCATTTCGAATTGGTGCGTGAAATTTTCCGGGAGGAAAGATGCTATGTTAAAATTTGCATGGTCTGTTCATGAAGAATGAAGATATCGATGATATCCCAGCATGGTATTTTGAGCCAAGAGTGTGTTTTTTTCTGTGAAATATGTGTACAATGTCTCCTATGAAAACGAGAGAGATGGGAGGAGGGTAGACAGGGAATTAATTGTTGCGTTATTCGATGGAAAATCAAGATTTAGGGGATGTTAGGCACAACTCAAATATTTCTTAGAGCTGAGTATTCCTAGTTCTACAAATTCATAGATCTGGATCATTGATAATATCTATATAAATCATTTTATTTTTATTTTATATAAAATATAAAGTTTTAAATCACTATAATTTAATATACAAACTCTAAATCCAACATGGATATAAGATCTGGAGCTATTCTAAGGGTTTGTTTGGTAGAGCGCTCTAGCTCCAACTAACATTTCTAGCTCTATCTAAAATGGAATTGGAACTGGTTAAAGTGCTATCATAAAATAAACTAGAGATGTGAAGCTGTGGTTTAGGTTACTTTAGACCTAATCTTTAACTTAAATTTAGAGTTAGAGCCTTGCTAAATAGGCCTAAATAGAACCTTAGAAAGTTGTTGAGGTTTAATATAACAAACAAGACGAAGAAGAGTTTTAGTTTATGGCTTGTTTGGATCACTAACGATTTAAATCCCGCAAAAAAAAAAGAAGTTTCTGGTTGAGCAGGGGAGCCGGTGAGACGGTGCACCGCTACTGAATGGTTCCAAAGAGGATGATACATCAAGGACAATGGTGATGTTAGGTTTTGGATCTGTTAGGAAGCGTAGGTAGCAACATATAAAAAAGTATATTTTTTATTGAAGGTGATCCAAAACTGACATGAATTCATACATCACTATATTAGTTTAAGCTGTAGCGAGTTACATACTTGATTTCGAATGAGCTAGTTCTGTACTCTACGCTCTTCTCACCTTATAATGGAATGATAAAATGCTCACGCTTTTTAAAATTCTAAATGGTGTATTTTTTAATAACTTTATATATATGACTCTCTGAGATATAATTTATTTTTAACTCTATAATACTTAATTATTCATTTCCGCTCTCGAATAACTATCATAATCATTCGGCCATTCAACATTCACTCTGGAAGGGTTAGTGATTTACCATATATACTTTGAACTTAATTTTAGCTCGCTGATGTTTGAGGCTTAAAACTTTAACCCTTCTCTTAACAGGTAGTCAAATGTTCTAGTATTGCACACATTTTCAGACCAACATACCTATAGTTATATATACCCTACTGGTATATAGTAGAAAGCTTGCCGTTGCCTAAGTCCTAACTGTTCTTTCTTTCGTCAAGCTGGACCAGTCTGGTACTATACCCCAACCTACTTGGGCCGGTAGAAATGATCTTATATTTGGCCGCTTTACATGATGCCATTAGCCATAGACACCGGCAAATTGCCAAATCCTCTTACATCAAAACTAGTTTTGAAAAATTGATTGCAATCATCTCTGCAGCCAGTCAAATAGGTCAACAACACGCACAGGCATCCACCGAGTGAAATGGTTCCGAAGGATGATGCGTTATCATTTATCAGGGCCAATAGTGACGTTATGTTTTGGATCAGTTCGGATTTAGGAGGCTCCGTTTCAAAGTTATAAGATGTCTTGACTTTTATCAAAGTTAAATTGCTTTAAATTTAACTAAGTTTGTAGAAAAGAAAATAATATTTTCAACTCGATACAAATTTATTATGAAAATATATTCAATTATTAATTTAATGAAACTATTTTGGTATTATAAATATTACTATATTTGTGCATAAACTTACTCAAATTTAAAGTAGTTTGATTTTGATCAAAGTCAAAACGTCTTATAACCTCAAACTAACCTCAAACGGATGGAGTATTATGTTGTAGGCTTGTAGCACCTAACAACGAGTTTAATAGTAGAGCTAACTATTAGCTATAAGGTTGAAACTAATGTTGAAACTGATATGTATAATAGATGATATATAATGTTGTCTTTAATTTTCTTCTCTTCTCTCTTTACCTGTTTAATCCATTTACTTTGAAATATGTGAAAAGCTAAGTCTTGCATGAGAGTTAACATATTTTTTATTTGTTTTTTATATAGCATCATGTCAAACTTGTTATTGTAATTGGTCGAAAGGGTCATGATACTTCATACTACAAACGTATACGACTTATTGTTATCGAAGGTGATCCAAAACTGACATAAATAATTCAGAGTACATCATTGGGTTAGTTGATATCGAATGAGCCAAAGTATATAGCAAAAAAATAAATAAAATGAAGAAAGAATGAGCCAAAATACTTGAGTGAGAAGGATTTATTAGTATACTTTGGACTTAATAATTACCTAGATCACTGATATTTGACACTAACGTGTTAGTATCGCACACACTGTACTAGTATGATGGACCAATAATCGAACCCACTTCGGCCGGTATCTCACACAAACACACAAGAAATGAAACCGAACTTTAAATTTGGACGCATCACATCATACCGCATGACACAGACACGGGGAAATCGCCAAATCCACCAGCATCAAAACCTGTAAATTGTACTGGCGGTACTCTCCCGTCTCCACTACTGATAAACTCGTAATTATCCGTGCAGTAATATAAGCCAGTCAAAGAGGCGATCAAAGTGGCAGGCCTGCCACCGAGACGAACAAATTAACCGGCTGTCCGCTTCCACCCTCTCCATCATTGGAATCCCCGCGCCGCGGCGAACATCCCAACCCTCCCTCCCGCACCACAACACAGCCATGCAACAGAGCATCGCCTCCGTCTGGGTAGTGGATCCTGAATTCCAGAGGTGCATGTTATCAAATAATTATGAAATAATAAAATTATTTTATTAATACCCCTTTCGTATTTTAGTGCATGATGCCGTTGACTTTTTCTTTTTACCAACCATTCATTTTATGCAAATTTTTTTTGCAAATATGAACATATTATGTCATACTTAAAAAAACATTTGATCATAATCCAGTCACAATAAAATAAATTATAATTATATAATATTTTTTTAATAAAACGAATGGTCAAATGTAAGTCAAAAAGTCATTGACGTTATAGAATAACATATGGAGGAAGTATATGATAGATCACTCCACAAATATGCAAATTAAAACAAATTAAACTACGATCAGTTAACGTATTCTCATAGTTAAATTTGTTTTCGTTGTAACTTGCACAAGTTAAATTTTATACTGCATATTTGTGGAGTAATTTATCACATAATATATATTATTAATTTTTTTATATTTTTTGTAACTATTTGAAAGAGCATCTATGCCCCTAGTGGGTTTTGGTTTATTGATGACAAACGATTAAGGGACTAATGCACTTATTGAGTGTATAAGCAAGTGATTAGTCCTATGAAGAAGCTAGGAAATAGACTTATCGATGGATGAGAATTAAAGAGAAGATATTGAAGATGCGGGTATGAAGTGACTACCTATGGCAAGACGGTGAAGCACAAGCGACGCTCAGTTGCGATGGACCATGCGGTGGTGAAGGGCAAGCAAGGGGCTTGGCGCCGACGAACCGAAACCGGTGGTGAAGGGCGAGTGAATACTGTGTCGTGATGAACCGTGCGAGGCCATTTGAAGCCATGGATTATCCACATTAATCATTTGAGAAATGGAAGATGAAATGTCAAAGATCAAGAAGATGAGATCTTCCCGATGATCAAATGACTTTGACGTTGGTAACCCTCCAAGTGAAGAATCAATATGGTGTGAAGGTACTCCTATTGGTATAACTTTGCTTTTTAAATTTGAGTTTAGGATGCTGTACTATTAAGAGGGATACCACATGCATATAATTGGTTAAATACTAGTGCTCAAAATGCTTCATGTTTGTGTGAGTTGAAAAACCTAAGCCAAAATTTTTAATCCCGAGTTGTTTCACTTGTCACAACACTTACACCGGGTTTCTTTGCAAGTTTTTCAATATCTCTTGAAGGTTTTGGACCATGTTTTATGTTGGGTTTGATAGCCCACGAAACTAGCTTTCCATAGAGTCCAAGATCTTCGAAATCGGAGTTCAGAGTAAAAAGTTATTGCATTTTTGCTTGAGCAACATTAGACTATCCGATTTGAAATCAGACTATCCGATGTATCGGACTATCTGATTTTTCACAGAACTTCACTCTCTGTCTTTGTTTGAAAAATCCTTTCGAGTGAGTTTTTCTAAGTGTCGGAGTATCCGATGTTGGATCAGATAGTCCAATGATACAGAGACTCCGAAATTTCATGGAACTTGAGTCTCTGTTTGAAGATGAAGTTTTTGCTTCTAAAATATCAGATACTCCGATTTAATATCAGATAGTCTGATGTCTCGGAAAATCCGAAATTTCATGAAACTTCGTTCTCTGTTTCTCCTTGCCTTGGAGGTTTAAAATATCGGACTATCCGACGTGGACTGAAAGATTCCCCTTCAACGGTCACATTTTGGGGGATCTATAAAAACCCCCCACTAACCCCTTTTCTAGGGTTGCCCAAACTCATTTTATTCAAATCTTGTTTTGGGTTGAGCTTTGTGCTAAGTGCTTTGGATCTTTGAGCTATCTCCCTCTCTATCTCAAATCCCCCTTGTTCTTTGTGACTTGGATCTTTGTGTGTGAATTTGGAGTTTGGGAGTCTAGTGTATATTTCTTTTGATCTTGAGCACTAGGATTTGTCCAAGAGTTGTGTGGTGTTTATTACTCTTGGAGGTTGAGGACTCCTAGACGGCTAGGTGTCGTTCTTGGGCCACCGATCTACGTGTGGTTGTTCAAGAGAAGTTTGTGAAGGCCGGATCTCGCCTCCGCAAGGAAAGAGATACCCTTAGTGAAAGGAGGAGTCCATTTGTGCAACCTCACGAGGATAGGGTTGAAAAAGACCCGGCTCTTTGCGAGCCCCTCAACGGAGACTAGAATCCCCTCAAGGATTAGAACTCCGGGAAATACATCGGCGCATAAACCTCGGTGATATCCTCACTCTCTTTACCTTCTTGTTGCATTGCTTTGTGGCATGCTAATATTGTTGTTGGTTGAGCTCACCTCTTTGCTTGTGGATTGAATCTAGATATCTTAGGTTGTTCTCTTGTTTGTATTGTTGTTGTGCAGGTCAGATAGTCTGATCTCAGTTCAGACTATCCGATCACATAGAACTATCCGACCTGATATCAGACAATCCGACCCTGTTTTGTTTTAGCTTCCGTATTTATTTAAAAATCGCCTATTCACCCCTTTAGACGATATCAAGATCCTTTCACTATTTAATTACATGTAAATATTGAAAAGATAATGACATGCAAATAACGAAAACGATATTCGAGAGGTTAGAATAGTTCCCCTCCGTCTGCTGCGCAGCGCTGGGCGACGGGACGCACGCCGAATCCACCCAAATCACCCCAACTTCTCGATCCACCGAATAATCTCCCCCCCCCCCCCCCCCACCTCACTCGGTTTCAACTCCCACCGCGCAAACGCAACCCGTGACACCACCTATGCTTTCGCTTCGCCTCGTCGCCTCGCCTAAAACCCACTCGCGCCGCGCGCTGCCCGCACGCACCCACCCACGTCGCGTCACGACATGCGGAAGCTGAGCGGAGGCGGCGGGGAGAGGAGGGTGGTGGGGGCGGTGGCGTTCGAGGTGGCGGCACTCATGTCGCGCGCGGCGGGGCTGTGGCGCGCGCTCGGGGACGCCGAGGTGGGGCGGCTCCGCGGGGACCGCGTCCGCCTCGAGGGCGTGCGCCTGCTCGTGGCCGACGACGACGCGGCGCTCCTGTCCCTCGCGCTCGCCGAGATGGCGGCCGCCTGCGCCGACCTCTCGCGCGCCGTCGCGCGGCTGTCCGCGAGGTGCGCCGACCCGCTGCTCCGCAGGTTGGACGCCCTCTTCGCCGCCCTCGTCCGTGGCGGCCGTCTCGCCGACCCGCACCGGCTGCGGTACTCCGCGGCGAGGAAGATGGACCGGAAGGCGCGGAAGATGCAGCGGCTCGTGGCGTCCACGGCGCTCCTGTCCCAGGAGCTCGACGTGCTCGCCGAGCTCGAGCAGGCGGCCGCGGGGGGCCTGCGCCGATCAGGCACCCGACGGAAGGGCGCGGCGAGCGGCGGCGGCGGAGAAGGAGAGGCCGCCCGCCGCGTGGCGCAGCAGAGGCAGGAGGTCGACCGCCTCCGCGCGGCCTCGCTGTGGAACCGGAGCTTCGACTACGCCGTCCGCCTCCTCGCCAGGTCGCTCTTCACCATCGTCGCGAGGATCGCCCAAGTGTTCGGCCTGGAGCCCAAGAACGTCGCCACCATGGACGACGACGCCATGATCTCGCTCGCCACCACCCGCCTCTCATGGACTAATTCCTTCGTCGGCAGCGTGCATTCCTTGGTCTATCCTTCAGATTTCGCCGCAGATACACATACTCCCCGGAGATCATTGCTCGATGCAAAATCCGGCAAGGTCTCCAATGGCGGCGAACATGTTCGTCGGTTTCTTGTCTCCAGGAGCCAGAGCTTGAGACAACTCAAATGGCCAATGGCCGGGAAGCACCTCATCGGCTGCATGGTCAGTGGGAGCAGGTCTCCGGACAGCGAGAGGTGGAAGATCCATGGAGATGGTGATCTTCCACTCAGCTTCAGCTACTACGTGTCAGCCAGCAACGACGATTATTCCAGCATCAATTCCCCGTTCCAAGGCGACCACACAAATTCGAATCTCTCAATAGTGTTCGAGTCGTCATCGCACAACTGGGTGATGAACGCGCCCGCGGTGACGACACTCGGCGCCGCGGCGCTGGCCCTGCATTACGCGAATCTCATCATCTTCATCGAGAAGCTCGCCGTCGCGCCTCGCCATATCTGCCCAGACGAGAGAGATGCCCTGTACAACATGCTCACCGATCGGATTCGGGCATCTCTCAGAGCTCGCCTCAGGCCGATCGCCAAGAACATGGCAGCCTCTTCATCATCTTCTTCTTCAGCTTGTGATCCTGCCATGGCTGCAGAGTGGTCTGGCACGGTGCAGCGCATCCTCGGATGGTTAGCTCCGCTGGCTCACAACATGCTGCGATGGCAATCGGAGAGGAATTTCGAGCAGAGAAATGTTGCGTCGAGCGGTACAGGTGTGCTGCTCCTGCAGACGCTGCATTTTGCTGACCAGAAGAAGAGCGAGGCTGCCATAGTTGAGCTGCTTGTTGGGTTGAACTACCTGTGGAAAGCTGGAAGAGAGCTTGATGCAAAAGCTAAAAAATTGGTGTCAGGTGGTGGAAAACGCGATGAATTCACAGATTATTATAGTAGTAATAGGATGGAATGTCGATAAGATGCAACTGAATTGGATGAGCCTGGGATATGTAAGCAGAGGTAGCATCAGATTCCCTTTGCTGATTTGCTCCTTCAATCCCTACAATTGGCATTATGACACGCATCTATTCTGTAATTGATGCTCCTGCATTTTAGTGTATAAGTGTAGGGCAGCTGATCATTTTAATGTAAATTTACCATGTAATTCATTAGTGAAGACGTATCAGGTTTAATAAGGTCACCGGAACAGAACTGAAACAGTGAAAATAGACTTGCACTAGTTAGTATGTTTGTACATGATGCATTCTGAATCCTGAAAAGAAAGAAGGGTATCTTGGATGGGCATGCGTCTTGTGCAGCATCTGCAGTTCCAGAATATGTTGAGACCAATTTCAGTTAGAACTTATATTTTCAGGTTGTTAGGAAGCGATAGGCAAATAAACGATAAATAACAAGAGATCAATCACAGAAGACACGAGATTTAACGTGGAAAACCCTTCCAAAACAGGAGAGAAAAACCACGGGCGCCAGCCAGCAAAATATCTTCATTATATCGGGGTGAGGTTAACAACACCGAACAACGGCTTATAACAGGTATATATGAAGGTGAAACCCTAAAAGGATAACGATTCGTAACAAGCCTCTGGCGACGGACCTCCGCTTCACTCCGGTAGAAACTGGCCTTTATTATGTGCAAATGAATTTGGATCACAACTTAATATAGGTTGCACTAAAATTGCTACACTTAAACAGTATCGTAATATTGGTCTCAGATTAAGCCCATCAAGGAAAAAATTGTTGGGCTTTACATGGGCCGAGCTGGCCATCAGAACATGATCAAACGGCCCACAGGAAGGGCTTCCTGCTCCAACTCGCCGTCGCCGGCCACCGCCGCGGCGATCTCTCCCCTGTCCCCTCGTCGGCGATGGCGCTCTCGTCCTCCCGGCCGCGCCACCTCCTCCGCCCTCTCCTCCGGGGCCTCCACGCCACCGCGCAGGCCCTGGCGAGGCCGGAGCCGCACGAGTTCTCCAACCCCAGCGAGCACCTCGGCAGCTGGGGGGAGCCCGCTGGGGATCCCCGCGAGGCGTGGGCGCGGCTGGAGCGGCTGCGCAAGGGCTACGCGCGCGACGTGCGGGCTGCGGGGGCAGTACGCCTACGAGGCGCAGCTGCTCGGCGCCGAGCGGCAGCGCAGGGCGGAGGCCCGCGCCGAGGCCGCCCGCCTCGCCACCGACGAGCGCAAGGCCGCCGCCGCGCAGACGCGCGCCGCCGAGCGCCGCGCCTTCGAGGACTACTTCCTTCAAGCCCTCGTAAACATCCCTCCTAGTCCCGCTTCATCCCCCTTCTTTTGCGTTGATCACCCGTTGCACATGAGTTGCTTGTTGAATTGCCGGAGTGGGAGTCTTACGATTACCGTGCGGGTTTTTTTAGAGGATCAAGTGAATTACGTTACTTGTTTGTAGAAATGAATCTACTAATTTAATTTTTTTTTCTGGTACGATATGTTAAAAATATCAGCGAAATGACTTTATAACTGAGATGAGATGATGTACAGATGAAAGTAAGAGGTGAGAAGCTGGAGAACTGGAGGGAGAAGGAGAAGCTCAAAGCAGATAAGAGGGCGGAGGACAGGGAGCTCTTGGGCAGGAAGAGCTCTGTGTGGATTGCTGATAATGAACTGGAAAATAGAATTCTCAAGGCTATCAAATTTACCACGCCTCTCTAAGGACAACTTTTGCTGCTAAGGTAACTTGAATTCGTTAAAATTTGTCAATCATTCCATATTGCAACACGAAGAACGCTACCTATGTTTTATCTCTTTTTGAAAGAAGACCGATGCTTTATGGTGTTATCAATCAGTGGCGGAGCTGGAGCACAATTGAGGGGGGTGCACCACTTTGCCATATGTATGGTGGCATAACACTCTAGATAATGGTATTTAAATATTCCTAGACAACTTTTAACTACAACATCAGTGAGCAGCGAGGAAAAGTGCTTACCGAAATAAAAGATGAAAGGAAGCCATGGAGGGAAACATAAAAAAATATAAAAAAAACAATCGATCTATGAAAAATGTATCCTGAATTGTTCAAACCCTAATATGAAAAAAAAAGAATTATAAACAGTCACATAGTTCAAACAACGCTATTTAACTTTGAGATTTGCTTGGAACAAATTAATCAAACTAACTAGATCAGAAATAAGAGGAGAAAAATCGATACCTTTAATTTTTGTGGCATATTTAGATGAGCAAATCTTAGCAAGTGGATTGAACTGCTTCTTGCCATGCTGATCGATCGGTTCCTCCAGCTACACGTAAGAGAAGATGTCGACGGTGATGGGATGACGGCGGATCTGTTGCCTGAGGGCATTAACACGAGTCAGCGAGTGGTCCTGATGGCGATTAGAGAAAAGGAAAAGAAGAGAAAGAGAGATGGGTCTCTGCGAACGAAGTGATCGAGGCGTCGGTCCTGGCATCGAGGACGAGTGCTGGCGATCTCAGCGAGCAGCCTATTCTCAGCCTTCTCCTCTGCGTATGGGCCAACGGGGGGTACACTGAGTTGGGCCAAGGGGGGTGCCCCTATGGTGAAACTTAACGGTAAGCAGTAAATTTAGAAATTGGGCCAGGTGCCTGGGAACCCCCCCTGGTCCATTGTGCTCCGCCCCTGTTATCAATAGAAAATGCTGCAGATTTTAGAGCGGTAGCCCTATGTAATATTGCCATCAGTTCCATTGATTCTGTCTAGATACAGCGTAACTTGAAATTATGTGTATTCTGAACTGGATAACTTCCTTCAGAAGATCGGGGCTTCAAAGACAGTATCTTCTGATACACTATTCATGCAGTACCAGTGTACCATCTGTGCAGTAAAAATCAGAATTTTATTTGAACTTGCTAAATTGTAATTGTGGCCAACAGAAAAAATGCATGCTTTGTAGTCTGATGTTTTTTTTTTGAAAACCATGCTTTGTAGTCTGATGTACTAAAATAGGAAGTCTCAAGAGTATAGCGGATGTTAACTTTAAAGCAATCTTCATTACACTTGAATCATTTTAACTCTTAAAGTCACTGGGTCCCTGTGCTTAGGTAGCCACTGACTTTGGTGGGTATTACATAATTATACACTCTTGATCTTCCATGTGTATTTTTTGTTTATGCCTATTGGGAATGCTCCTTGCAGTCTTGTGGTTAAGTTACTGATCATTGGCATACTTCTACCATCAAATTCTCCAATACAGCTTGGACAGCAGAGGGCATAATGCTATGATTAACTTTTCATCTTTCCAATTTATCCGTGCACTTGAGTTAGATGAATGTCCAAAATGCAATTGTATATTTTCTGCAGTCAGTAGTTACATGGTTTAGTACGTCTGCTCATGACAATTTCTTCTTTTGTATCTTTAAGATACTTTTCCTACCTTTTCGTTAGACTAACTATGACTATGTTCTTTCAGATACCGAGAAGCATCGTTGTTTTCCTTGCACAAGATACTAGATAATGTCTTCTGAGAAGCAGGATGTGGGATGAACTGAATGAGTTCCTGGAACTAATCACAGCTGTCTAAGCAATAACGATCAATTTTGAAAATTCCGCTGCAGCATTGTATGTTATGTTGGTGGTGGATGAAAGTCTAGGTGAAGTTGTGTTCAAGCATTCCTTCGCCTGAGAGAGACAGCTTTCCTCATGTTCATGTTAAAAAAAATTCTTTCGCAATTGAAATTACTTTAGCACTAGCTGGATAAACTGATTTGTGAAGTTCAATTTCGTTGTGGACAAACTACTGCCCCGATTTTCCCATAAGATCTCCTATAATTGCATAGTGCGTAATATTTTGAATTTTGCTTTTTTTTTTGTATGTGTGTGCAGGAGATGTTATTGTGTGTGAGTATATCAATTCATGTACCACTGTGCCAGTGCAGCTAATTGCTAGTATTATGTGTTCATGATTATGGGCAAACATACCATGTGTTCAAGGATATACTCCCTCCTTCCCTAAATGTTTAACGCCGTTGACTTTTTTAAACATGTTTGACCGTTCGTCTTATTCAAAAACTTTTGTGAAATGTGTAAAACTATATGTATACATAAAAGTATATTTAACAATAAATCAAATGATATAGGAAAATAATTAATAATTACTTAATTTTTTTAATAAGACGAACGGTCAAACATTTTTAAAAAAGTCAACGGTGTCAAACAATTTGGGAGTATATGGATGGTCTCATCAATTTTTGCAGCACAGCTACTTCATGATGGAGTGACTCTGAACTTTATAGTGTATTTCTTTCTCATTACACCAGGAGCCTATCATGGTCTGTACTCTGTACCTTCCACAAATGGCTGCAATACCAGATCAAATTCAAGATACTACCCCTCTCCTCTTTATATATAAGCGGTGTTGGTGAAGCGAGAAGAGATACCCCAACATTTCATAGAAACCAGATGATCGAGTAGAGTACAGAGAGACAAGAGATTCATGTTAGCACAATCTAAACCTCATGACAAACATAACATGTCCATGCAAATCAAATGGAAGTAGTACTACGAATGGGATGGATTAGGAGACACAACTACAGTGAAAGTGACGGCTTTGGGTATAGCTCGTAGTCCCAAATCTCTCCGCGTTCCAATCACTGCAGTATGGACAAGCTACATAGGCCTAGTGGTGTGCCAGATGTAAGAGCGAGTATAATAAGATGATGTAAATGGGCTATATATATTCACATATATTTGTGCTTATGTGGAGCAGAAAGGAGAGGAGAGAGAGGAAAAGCGGCCTATAGATTTTATAGCTCGTAGTCCCAAATCTCTCTGCGTTCCAATCACTGTAGTATGGACAAGCTACATAAGCCTAGTGGTGTGCCAGATGTAAGAGCGAGTATAATAAGATGATGTAAATGGGCTATATATATATTCACATGTATTTGTGCTTATGTGGAGCAGAAAGGAGAGGAGAGAGAGGAAAAGCAGACTATAGATTTATAGCCAGCTGCAGCACGAGCTCCAATAAACCATGTGAGAGAAATGCGGGGAATGCACTAATGATGTAATATATATCTATAGTTGACTATTGTATTAGTAGGCTATTGAGTTAGCTATAGATGATATGTTAATTTTTGAAACTAGTTGGCTATATTATTAAACTGATTATACAGTTCTTAGGAGCTATTGCGTTAATTAAAAAAAACTTACCGTTGATTTGGTGTATCGTATTATCGCAATCACACATCGTGTTGAGAGTCCCTATAAATAACCATAAAAATATATCTGTTGATTTAGTGGATCGTGTTATCATGATCGTAGATCATGTACAAATCCCATACATATCGTAATACACACACACACACTATGTTTCACAAATAATCCTATATACTATATACTATGTTTATAGCTATTGGCTTTAACAAGGTGAAGTGCCAAAAAGCTATTGGCTTCCTTTGTTCCTTTACTCTGCTCAGGAATACGGCAGGATTACATTAGCTCGGTAGGCAGTAGTGAGCAGGGTTTACGATTCCGACAGGCCCTTCTGTTTCAGGTACTGGCGGAATACGGAATTTCGCAAAATCCGGTGAAAAACCAGTAAATTCTGAACAAATTTCATAAACCAAAATTTGAATACAAATTCCCTAAGTTTGCCGACAAGTTCTCGAAAACCGGTCGGTTTTGGCGAAATTCTGATCGAAATCATCGAAATCAGTAAATGTTTTCCTTTTTTTATTTCCGGTCGGTTTTTGCCCATGTAAGTGTTTTCCTTTTCTTGATTATTTATTCTTTTCTTTCCTGATGTAAGTTTCAGTAAATACATACAATACATCATTTTTTTCGAAAATTTATATCCCAATAGGTTCTATGAATATCATAGTATTTATAAGATTTTATTTGATTTTTCTTTTTTATCAATTCAAATTTTAATTTGGATGAAACTTCTCGAAATCTCAGACGATTTCTACTTTCGAGCCTCGTCGAAACGTCGAAATTTCACGAAATCCGGTCGGTTTTCGTCGGAACCCTGGTAGTGAGTACATGCCCAACCAAATGCTACTATTGCAGCCCCTTTGTAGTGAGTGCAGTTTAAACTACGTCAAGTGAAAAATACTACACTCTCCTTAACTATGAGAGGACCATAGAGATATTCTTCATTAATGGAAGGTAGCAAAATAAGAGAGGAAATAAATACTTATCAGTAGTTTTTCACAGCTTCCTGGAAAGTTACTCGGGAGGTGATCGATGATTTATAGAGTTTTTTGCTCTTTGTTTTCCATGACAAAAATCAAAACTTCACAACTGTCATGTATAGCAGTGATGATTAGGTCAGCCATGAGCATTTGCAAGGCTAGCTAGGAACTGGAGGCGTTTGGAAATGCTGCAAGGCCTCAACACACTCTCACATAGAACAAAGCTCCTAACACTGTTGCAGATCTTTGGACAATTGACAAGTGCTGGGATGCCCAAAAGCTCAATTCAATCTTTGAGCAGCAAGCGGTTAATATGATATTGCAGGTACCAATCATCCAAGACAACTCTGAAGATAAACTTCGATGGAAATTCACTCCCAATGGAGAGTGCAATTCCAAAAGTGCATACAAGGAGATCTGGAAAAGAGAAGCCTCACATGGATCTCAAGTAAGTGAACATGCCAGAACAATCTTGAAACAGGTTTGGAAAGACAAGTGTATGCCTCCAAAGATTAAAACCTTTGCTTGGAGATTGCTGATGGGAGCTCTTCCTACTGCTTCCAGGCTTAATTTCAGAATCAGTGAAATTTCTCCAAATTGCATTAGATGTGGCATGATTGAAAATGATTTCCATCTTTTCTTGGACTGCCCTTTTAGCAAAATCACCTGGATAATCTCAGATATCAATCTGAACACTGACATTTTTTCTGATAATGTCTCAATGGCTCACATTATTGCTTGCATTGTAAATAATTGCTCTAACAAAGCCTCCCTTAATAGAATCTTCTCAATCATGTGGCAAATCTGGAAAGCAAGAAATGATCTTAAATTTCAGGGGAAGGTGCTCGAGCCAACACAAGTCTGTTTTGCAGCAGAAGCTATGATCAACACTTACTCTTGCTTGATTGAGCAACCTCATTTGCAGGATAACATCGACCAGAGCCCTTCGGAGAGAAGAATGGAACAGCTGCCTGAAGGTAACAGATGCTATGTTGATGCCTCCTGGGAACATAATAAAGCATGCATTGGGATCTTTTTTCATCTTCCTGCTACTCACAATGCTCTTTTCATTAAAGCTTTTTGTCACTTGACTGAATCCCCTTTACAAGCTGAACTGCTTGCTTTGCAATTAGCTATGGAGATTGCTTTGGTTTTGAATTTCACAGACACAATCTTCCTCATGGATTGCTCAACGGTGGTGGACACAGCGAAGAAAGGAAACTTCCATGAAGATCCAAGCCATTGGAGTCTTTTACCTATTTGGAGTCAAATCTTAACCTTCTTACCAGGACATTTGCTCAAGGTCCACTGGATTCCAAGACATCTCAACAAGTTGGCAGATAAGCTAGCCAAGGATGCTAGAGGGAACCCTTCATCCCCTCCAATCTTTAGTTGCCAAAACATTGCTCATATTGCTTACCCATCCAATCAATGTTTTGCTTCTACCCTAAGATCTAGCCTGAGGGCTCGAAATTGTACTGTCAACCATGTACTTTGTTTCTGAGCTTAATAAAACGCATGGTTTTCAAAAAAAAAAAGAACACATAGAACAAAGCTGGAGATGGCTTCCTCCTCTGCCGAGTGAGACACGTTGTTCCCCTCAAGACTATCGCTCCAATTTCCTTTTCTCTGGTCTGAAAGTGGTTGAAAATTACAAATCCATGGGACCAATTGATGTGTTACTAGTTTTGCATTACATGTACATCATAACATACTATTCATTTGGCTACATAACTTGGCACACGGAAGAAATTAATTAAAGACAACTTCAATTCCGGCAGCATAGTGAGTTAGTGACTGGACAGAGTAAACGTTTGAACATACATCGATTCCAGTTTTGGCTATATGGAGTAGATTACTAGATTAATTACTTATATCTTTTACAGTGATCAGTTCTTGTATTTCTGTGAGCACTGACCATTCCACAAAGCTGACGAATTCACCATTGTTGTCACGATGATCCATAAAGAGATCGAGCCATATATATATATTTTTGAGAGAACAGTCAAGGAGTTCTTACACTTCACTGTAGAAAAAGAGAGTTGATCCAATTTATAAGAAAAATTGAACCTAAAACTCTGGCATTGACACACTGAACCTAAGAACAATAGTTGAACAAGGGAAAAACCCTAAAACGAAGCCTTCGAGAAGGACACGCCGACAGAACGGTGACATCGCCTGATCCAAATGAATCTAAGGTTTTTATCCGGAGAAATCCCTTAATGTGAAATAGAGCATATCTCTCAGCATGGAATTCGAGAGGAAATCCTAGACGGCCGTTTTCCACCCGTTGCCCATAGGATTAACGCGATTCAATTGCAATTATTTCCATAATTACGTGATTACGCGTATTGATCGGTAGCGCCAAATCCTTCCATGTTTGGATTGCCCCCGATCTCCCTCAGCGCCATACTAATAGGGGAGGCCGGTATCGTGGATAGATGACGATCTCTCCACGATCATCTTCTCCCCGAAAATCCCAAAAACCTATCCGATCAACTGAGCGCTGGAGGGAGAACGTGTGGTGGTTCTGGGACAGTGTAGGTGGCGACCGGAAGGCCATCGCTACCCCACAAGTGATTACCGGCAACCCCTTCGGGATCAAGCCGGTGCTCACACTGCAACTGCTACCACTACTACCTCTACACCAACAAGAACAAGGAGAACCGCATCAATGACTTCAAATAATGGTCAGTTAAACCCCAATTCCGCATTAGGGTGATCTATAGGCTTAGCAAATTATATCTTAGTAGATCGCAAAGTCTACAAATATTGCCCACACACCAAAACTACCTACACCACTGCACACCGCCAACTACACACCGCAACAACGTGCACACCACCAATCGAGCCATATATATACACTTGGTCGATACATATGCATAATGGAGCAGAAATCCAAAGGGTCCAGCCCACAGCCAATATAGTAGAATTATTTACGGTACACCATACTAGTATATATATGTATATGTTGCAGATGCACAATCCAAACACCACAAAGGCACAAACTGGGAAGCAATGGATCAGTCATAACCGGGAATACCAGGGCGTTTCCACGGACAGAAGTCATGGCCAGAGATCCAATCCAAGTCGGCCGAACGAAAATTTGACCGGTGGTCGGTGGCAATCCAGCTGGGCTGTGTTCGTGCGTACGTGTGGCTTCTGGATTGGATATGACACAGCTGTGCGTCCAATCGAGGGTTTTATTCACTCTTCTTCTCGTGATTAACTAACTCCCTATGGACAAAGGCCACACACACATCCAATGTATACGAAAAATCGTATGTGTGTGCCGAGCGTATACACGTAGTATGTCCATGTGTGAAGAGGTATACGTACGTTGTATGTGCCCTCGTAAAAGATTAATGGTTGGTTGAAATGGACGCATTGTTGTTCTTGGCAATATGTGTTTAACACCTACTCTCTCCATTCTAATCTAGAAGTGGTCTTTTTTTTTCATAGAGGGTGTACCCTGCAGTAGATTTTATATTTTACCCCCTCCATTTCACGATGTAAATCATTCTAGCGTCTAAGATTCATTAACATCACTATAAATATTGAAAATGCTAGAATAACTTGCATTGTGAAATGGAGGAAGTATCAAAGTTTCTAACAGATCGTGTGTCCAAATATATGGTCTCTATAAATTGTAGTTACTCTGATGCCCTCTTTTCTTATTACACCAAGTGCCTAACATGGTCTGCACCATGGACACATGGCTGTAATCAGGGGTGGATCCAGGAACAAAAAAATTGGAGAGGCTCAATTGCGCAGTTTTTTCAACCTTCAGCCATCTAGAGACTTTTAGTTTATCATTCATAGTGAAAAAATAAAAGGGGTGCTCCGGAGGGTATTCATGAGTCTTGTGGGTGTAGGGGGACTTGAGTCCCCCTGCACCCACGTTGGATCCGCCCCTGGCTGCAATACCAGATCAAATTTAAGATACTACACCTCTCTTTATATACAAGTGGGCTGAGCAAGAAGAGAAAGGGATATGCGTCTATCATTTCATAGAAACTAGCTGATGAGAGGAACGGGCTAAAGAGAGGACAAAATGATGAATAACAACATACATTTTGCATGTACAACTTCACCACAAGTTTTACAGACCACACAATCTAAACTTTATGGTAACTCTTGCCATACACATTTTGTAACTAGGATTGGGATGTATTAGGAAATACAACTATGGCTATAGCACTGAAACCTTACGCCATTTTTCTATGGAAGGTAGTGTATGTGTTGGAGACTTGACGTAAGGTTTCAGTGCTAGTAGCCGGACAACCAAGGAAGGCGATAACATCCCTGGTTAATATGGTTGTATGGGAAATATAGAGAGATCAAAATATCGGAGTGTTTCGGAGGAGAAGTACATGCTTAGGTGAAGTGTCGTTGTGAGAGACAGGCATAGAGCAGCTAGGGCTTGAGTCTTAGGCTTACCTCTAAAATCATGTTTAATTAAATTCTCTAAATTCACCATGCATGTAAATTTTGGACATTAAAAAAAATATTAGTTGAGCCTAGTTTAACCTTAGTCTTAAGAAATTTTTAGCTTCGTCACTGGTGAGAGACCTACAAGAGCTAGAGCAGCTAACGTTGAAGAAACTAGAAAGTGAACTATATTTTGGTCCTCCGGCATAACATTGTCAAAATAAATAATTTTGTGATTATCATCATATCTTTTAGAACTTAATGATCGTTGGATCGAGCTTGACATTATCCGCAGCAACACACACACAAAAAAAGGGTCTCTGGCATGATCCGCGAGCGGATAATCCGACCCACTAAAGCATGATGGGGTTGACTAATTAATTGTGCTTTCTTTTGCAAGGTATAATTGTGTATTTGTGTAGCTAGGCAATTCAGATGTTTTCGGCCACAAGTTTCTCTAACAGCTTACCTACGGTAGACATGAGACTATTTCAACTTTTTGGCAAACGGATTATTTCACATCAGCTACTTGATGATTCGTTACTATGAACTTTCTACAAGTGCAGTCCCTTTAATTACATCAACCGCACGTCTATTATAATATGTACTTTTCACATGAACACAATGCCGTTAAATTCAACATACAACTCTCTCTTTCATCTTTATCTTTTCCTATTATAAAAGTTTAAGATGTTTTTGCCACAAATTTCGTACGTCGTCCCTGATTGTGTCTGTATCCGTATGAGTTTATCGCATACTTTGGCCAATGCACAAAAGAATCACAGATCCGATTCAATTTGACACGGAGAAAAAAAGTCAAAGTAATCCTAAGTCCGCACCAAATCGGTTCCGATCAGGATTTTACATAAATTGGGCTAAATTTAAACCGGTTCGTGTTACACTAGGACAACTTGCATATATACAACATATAAAAATACAAAAATTGGTTCTAGGAAAAATACCCAATTTGCACAAACCCTAAATTCCAAATTTTCCTCGAATTAGATCCCAAATCCAAATAAAGCAAAACTCCAGCCACCAGAATCATTCTCACCGGTTTCTATCTTCGGCCGCACGTCGCATGATTTCAAAACCCTAAAACGAAAAATACCCAAATTTAGAACTCAAATTTCTGGGTAAATCCCTAAGCAAATCAGATTGATGGCTTACCAATTTGGCAAATCACCGCCATCATGTGATGCGAGCACAGAATTAGCACCACCATGCACGCACCCTAGCCGTCACCCTGAACCGGCCTTGCGCCTGCTTCTCATGGGCCACGCAAGGTCGAGGCTCGCTGTCGTGGCCTTGGCTGCGTGCGGAAGAGAACCAGGAGGCGGCCGTGCACGGCATCAGACTTGGCTTGGAAGCAGATCATCACCGTCGAATCCACTCCACGCCGCTGCCGAGGCCACTCCGCCCCCGTCAACTACTTGAGCTGAGCTGCAGCCCAGATGCATAACCGGATGCCGCCAAGAGAGGAAGATGGGGCGCAACAGGTAGGGAAGGAGCTCAAAGATTGTTGTGTGTGTGGGGGGGGAGGGGGGGGGAGGGGGAGGGGGTAGCAGACGGGGAAGAAGCACAATGATGCTAGAGGTGGCCGGTGGTGGGGAGTTGAATCGGGGGAGACAGCTAGACAGGAGTAAAGGACACGAGATGAGAGCGGATGGATTTGGGGAAAGTGAAGGAGAAAGTGAAAATGGGGACTTATGACTTATCTGTTCTCGTGCTCTGCTTTCTTTCTTTATTTTTTTTCCCTACCAGACCTCTCTTCCTTTTATTTTTCTCATTTCTCTATCAATTTGTTGAGGTAAAAAAATACTACTATTTGACCTCAAATGTAATTAATTTATAAACTGGAAACAATACTCCCTTAAAAATGAAAATGACTAATTAATAATAGATTTAACAATACCAATGACGTATCTCGAACTTTTATATGGGTGATCCAACTTATATATAACAAAGCTAAAAGTATAAATGGATCAAATATGCATCATAATATATTAAAAACGAGCCTTTTTTCTTCGTTTTTTCAAAAGTTTCTTTTCACATACGTATATTTATGTGTTAGGCTAAGAATTTTTTGGGTGATCCGCCCATGACAATATGTTTATTGGAACTGACGAATCGATATTAAAATTTATGACGGTCTCACTTAAAAACACATATAAACATGTCCCGATTTACATACGCAATTGTATCTTTTTCCATTGCAAACATGCCGGCATTTCTACTATCACATATTACAAATGGTTTAGGAGAGAATTTTTAGAAGATGCCATTCGATTTGCTGCACCACCTTCAGGATGTGCCACTCAATTCGCAACACTTTCAAAACATGCCACCAAGGACGTGAATTGTTTCATTCCGTGCCGCTCTGTCCCTCCCAAGCCGTGTGTCGTCATCTTGCTGCCGCCAGCAAGCTTTTCCTTGCCATGCCGGCAAGAGCTCCTGTAGTCGGCCGCACTAAGCTTCGTCGGCGATGTGCCATCAACCACCAAGGTGTCTGGACACTACTTCCACCAGCTCCGCCATGATTACTCCTTCGTTGACATTGCGGACTCTGCCATAGAACGACGCCCGCTTCCACGGTCTTTTCCTCCCGTATCAACACACGGGTATTTTTCTAGTCTTTAATTATATATAAGTAGTGGTGTTGGCAAATAATAGAAGGAGATGCGCCTCAACATTTGTAGAAATGAGTTGACAATTAAGGGGAGCAAAGATAGATAAGAGAGAGAGAGAGAGAGAGACGCGATGCATACTAGCATATGCTCTCCGCGCAAAATCTAAAACTCATGGTAACTCTGTCCATGCATTGACATGGAGGGATTAGGATTAGGATGCATTAGGAAACACGCAAGAATAGTGAAAGTGATGACAACCCAAGCTCGTGTATCAGTATTATCTCACAGATACATACCATGCTGTAAACCACTCCACTACATACCATGGTGAGGGATCATACTATCAGATAACACTCGTTACTTTGGCATGCTAGATCAGGATGTTCAGTAGCTCCCAGAAGTCAGCAGCAAAAGAGGCATTATCATGTGTTTCTATCTTCTCTGCTTTTCTGCTTTTGGAACCTCTCGAACCACCGTCATGGTGTGGTTTCCAGAAATGAACCACTATCATTACATCGCCTTTTGGTGAAGTGTATAAGGATGCTACTCTGGGCTGAACGACTTCGAGAATAGACTTGTAATTTCAGCTTGGAAGGATCTCCTCTTTTCCTCCTTTCGTTCTCTAAATCTGTAACGATCTTGTAATGATCTTGTACTTCTAGGCACCCTTTTATCAATGAAATACAGGTGGGGAAACTCTCCCCTCCTAATGACATATTCTAAAAAAAATGTTAGATCAGGATACTAAGTCTTCCTTTTAGGATTATCATAGCAAAACTAAACTATATTAGCTGAGTTGATATGTATCGTGAGGTACGGACCATTCTGGATAGCTATCAAAATGTGCCTTACTAATTGATCCTCTACTCAATAATGTTTGGCTAAATTTTGGATTGAAGCCAATTCTTTTATCAAATCAATATTGATGTCCTACGAAATTATTGATAATACCAATAAATATAATTGGATAGTAAAGAACCAAAATGACCATTTTATTGAACTGAATAAACTTTAAAGTCATTGAAAGTTTCTCCATACCTCATTGTTCTAGAAATATTGCATAACATAACACCTCCCCGTTAACACTAATAATGCATTTACCTTTCAAGACGGTAGAAACCTCCAATTAATTTTAGAATGAATGGGCACATTATGGGTGGTTGAATCCTAACGCCAACGTCATTGGCCCCCAACAAGTGTAATAAATGATATTTCTATTAAGCTACATCATCACCTCCATTATTATTTTTAACCTAGCATGATTAATCTACAACTAAATCATTTTCCTTCTCATTTCACATTATCACACTGTCACGGGCTTGGGCCCTAAGTGGGCTGGCCATGAAGACCCACCAGGCTGGAAGGTTAACCTGCTACTCCCTCCATCCCTAAATGTTTGACGCCGTTGACCATTTTAAATATATTTGACCGTTCGTTGTCAGGGTTATGTATACTACATACCTAATAGTAGTTGACTAAATCTCGGCAGGACGCACCACATACCATGTCCTATATAGAAACAATCTGCGGATATAGGAGGAGTTCCGGATAAGGAAAGACAACCAGAGTTCTACATGAAAACGACAAGGACTACTCGGATTGTATCCATATTGGTTTCCCTAGTTCTACTTGGACAAGGGGACACCTATGGGTATAAATACAAGCCCCCCTAGGAGGACAGGGGGACAACCATGATGAGACGATCAACACGATCAACACCCACCATGACGAGACAATCAACACCCAACACAATCGACATAGAAGCCACAACATACAAGCCAACATACTCCAAGACAAGACGCCGGATATCGACTTCAGGGATAGGCATGGCTATTCCCCTACGGTGTCTCCGGATACCGTCAGGAGAGACGAAAGCGCTATCTCTGATCTCGCCGGGCACAGATTCGAGGAGGAAGGCTACCCTGTTGTCGATTACGAGTCAGATCTTCAGACCGACATGTCGATAACAGTTAGATAGGCTACCCCACATATTGTATTGGTGTGATTATGGTGAATAAAAGCAACTCCGGCTCCGGCCAACAGGATGTAGGGTTATTACCTGACAGCTCAGGGGCCCGAACCTGTATAAAAATCCTCGTCTCCATCTCTTTTACCTCAGTCTTGTGTATATCCTAGCACCAACGTTCCCCATACTGTCCAAATACCATAGTCGAGACATCAAACGTCGACAGTGGCGCGCCAGGTAGGGGGATTTTGGTGCTCTAGGATTTCAACGAGATGGGTTCAAAAGACAGATTCTCCGACAACAAGCTACTCGACGACTTCGCTGTGGGGAGATCTAACCCGACCAGAGTATGTCTCTCGACGAGATCGGAACCATCGTCGTCAACAACTCGATCTCTCGAGATCGACCAAACTTCAAGACGTCACCGCCACAGAGAACAGTGACTTGATATTATCAACTAGGAGGTCTCCGATCTCCATCTCTTCGGAAGCGACATCATCAACTGATTTTTGGTAACCTCGGTAATGCTGCTGCCTGCTCAGAAACCCGGCCATCGAGGAACCAAAATCAACATCTCGATCTATTCACTGGATTCTTTTGGGATTTGGATCGTTCTCACACCCCGATTAGGATCCAAATTTTGGACCCCTGACGCATACTG